AATAATAGCCTGAGATATCAAACTTTGACCCGATATCGTTGAGCAATAACAAGGTGAGTTATCAATATAGACTCAGTTACACACTGCACTTCCACACTTTGGTTGTTGTTGCAAGGGTGAGGCGTGCTTGTTTTCTTGTTTAATGCGCAAGCCACAGCTCATAATCAATACCAATGATGAATGAAATGAACGACAAACAGTGTGCCTTCCATTGACCTATCCTCACTCGCTTGTCAATACAACTCGCAGTTGCTGGTGTATGACATGCACAGCAGCTGGCAAAATTGAAAAAGTGGTAACGTGGAATTATGATTAATCTAATTTAATCATCATCGATATTTTTGTGCGTAAATAGGTCTGTGTCAAAAATTACAGTTCAACGTCTGACGTCAACCAAACATGCAATATAGATCAAAAACTTGCAGTCAGTAAGCTGTGTGAAATATGAATTTGTTTAATTATTCCATACGTAGAAAATCACCTTCAACATTTAAAAGTTTTTCATTTTTTGTGGCATTGCTAAATGTAAATGATATCACTTGAACAGCAAATATTCTGAGACAAAGCGTTATTGCTGTTCTTGCTCGCATGCCGTGTCACGAACGGCGCGGTGATAGTCGCCGTGCAATAAAGCATGGATACTGGTAACAGGCAAATGTGAATAATCTCAAAGGTGTTATGGGTATTTATTACATGCTGTTGCATGATGCACCCTTTTAAGGAGAGTGAACACCATGTAACAGTCTGCGTTTCGCTCTTAAATGCAGCTGTGACAAGGCGGTCACTGAGACACATTCGGGGTGTATTTGTGCCCGTGCACCGTGCAATGAGCTGAGGATTCCTCCCATGACTTAACATATCCAGCATTTCTTCACTCTGCCAACAGTTGATGCTTGCAGTTTCAGAGAAGACATTGCCTGTGGCTGACTAAATGTGGCACAAAGGCAAAATTTCTGGTATATTTTGATGATGGTCATTTTAAATACAACCCACTTTCTTTCTCATTTATAGTCAAACATTAGGATCACAGCGTTTATGATGTACTTTGCCTTTTTCGGTAGTACCTCAATCACTGCTGTCTAAGCGACGTCACTGGTACTGGCCCGACAGTGCTTTGCATTAGATGAGACTTCTGACATTTTAAGTACACTACGTATGGGTCAAATTTAAAGAATGACAAAATACAGAATGCAGTTTACTTAGTACTTACGGGTTAATGCTGGGTCAGCATCGCAACACAGCGAGCTTTTGTGAGCTGCATTGCTGATTGGTCGGGACAGGTCGGGCTGCGGGCTGACATTTTGGAAAAAGTTGCGTCTCTAGTCCTAACACCCACAGTCGCGCACGCTTCCTCGAAGCGGTTCGCCAATCCCGTAAGCACATCAGACGGTATCATTATTGTTCACGTGGCCAAGCCAGACGCGGCAAATAAACCTCTGAGTTTTATACTGAATGTCATCCATAGAGCTCCCAGGAGCCTTCGTGGACTTTTGGTGCCAGCGACCATCCTATTGTTTTAACGTGTTGGCCTCCCACATAAGTGGCTTATGCCCTCAGCACTTTAGTTTGGAGTTCCACAAAGCATCAGCTGTCCGCTTCCTCTCGCATAACATTTTGGAAACGTACTCGAGTTTGGTTATCGGCACGCATAAGTATATTTGCCTTTTTCCCCAGCTTCACCTTAAATCATTCTCAAGTTAACTTGCACTTGTGGGCAATTATTAGGTTACATTACCCTCAACACCCCATTACTGGTTTCTTGTATCTCTTACCTTATTTATGTCACAGTACTTTACCTTTTTCGAAATCTGCCGGAATCATTTCCGATAATGTCTAAGCGTTTCATACCACACCAGAAAACAGCTTAAATTTTGAAAATTTTTACAGGCATTAATTATTGGCTCGAGGTCTCACGAGTCCAATGAAATAAACGATGATGGAAAAAGAATGCATAGAACTGAGGAAGAACGGTGTTGCCCTATTTACTAGCGTGAATAACATTTAGCAAAGCCTTCTCGTGAACGCCTCCAGGCTTTCCCGGAGAAGCTCAGATTCAACAAATTCAACGAGAACGTCTTGATTCGCTGTATTAGCCAGGAAAAACAAGCGTTGTTGTGCATGTCTTCACCTTAAATCGTCATCTCAGTCTTCTCAATATTTTCAATAATCTACAGTCTTCTCAATCAGCCACAGTCAACATACAGTCTTCTAGTATATTTTATCAAACGGGTAATTATCTTACTGTCCTGTATGTTGCTAGATACAGTGTATAGCGCATATGTCTTCGGTTCATATTGCACGTTATAACTCGATAACAACGTAACCAACGAGCTGTGACTTACGTGCTGTCAACCTTAGTGTACGTTTCGGGAGCCGATCCCCAGACCCTTGGCACGCTCTTTGCTTGTAGCTCAGATGCACGGAAACGATGTACGGTTTCTCATTCACAGAAAATGCGAATTTCAACCCAGCCACCACTGCTTACCATGCGCTGTAACATTAGCCCTGTTGACGTTGGAGAATAAATAGGTTGCCAGGTTGGAACAAGCTCCCATATGGTCATTTGTATCCATCTTGATCATTGAAAGTTCTTCGCTGGTGGTTGGTTAGGTTTAGTTTCAGTTGCCAGGAGGTTGCTGGAAGCTGTGTGTGCACGAGGGTTAAGCAGCAAAAGCGCCACGTTTAGCGTGACGCCGGTTGTTACACTTTTGCCGTTGGTATTGTTGTGGTGTGCCGTAGTATTGCGTAAGTTGTAGCTGAGAACACAAAATTGGCATGAATTTTCCTGAAGGCGGATAAGGTTTTTTTATTATAGGCACTTCAATGTGATGACACAACGCTGCACACCCCGACCCGAGAGCACCACGTTACCAGCACCGCGGATGCACAGAAACAAAAACAGAAAGCCCTACAGCTGGCCAGCTTTGGTGCCTATCTGACAACACTTTCAATTATCTGTGTAAGCAGGACCATCGTGATCGAGCGACCCTATAGAATCGAAAGTCAAGGAATAAATATAAATTGATTGCAATGACTTCAGTGACTGGCGGGTGATTGGAAAGAAGTATTCCCGAAAATAATTTTTCCGACATTATGTTTATGCCATAACGTCATGACACCACTAGTAAATGCTTGCGTGACGTTTTTCCCCTTTACGTATACATTCACTCGCAGTTTGCTTTCCCTTTTTAAAAGTTCGCTTTCTTTGCCTTCGATTAAATTTATGGAGTGGCATGACTGCCCACCATTTAGAAGCGGTCAAATGCGCCAAGCCACACCAAACCACCACCAGGGTCAATGTTAGCGAAACTTCCAAGCGCCTAACCAAAAGGACTGCATTACCCTGAGTTGTTATTTTTAATGCGGTACAATCAAAATATTGTCAAACTAAAGATTTATAAATACTACACAAACTACAAAAGCAGAAAAATCATGTAGCGTGAGCTGACCTGATCCTGATCTGACGTTACACTGACCTGACTCGGCCTCGACTCTCCACCTTTGCGTATCACGTCATGATATGGTTATGGTTTCCAAGAACACGCCTGTGCGTTCGATGTTGGTTTCAAGGCTTTAGGACCACTACTCCGCGTACCGCGTGGCACTGAATTCCAGGTGCACCTTTCGGGATCTGTGGTATCAGCAGCCATCTGGCGGCTGTCGGCTCAGCGATTCCTGAATGTGATTGGCCACGGTTATTGAGTGGCGTTTGAATCTCCCCGATTCCGAATATTGTACACTGAGGTACAAGGAAAGGAGCCACTATGAGCCCTCAGGCGGTCACGAGCGACAAAGTACCCGGGTAATGTCGTGTTCTACCCCAAAGACGGTTAGGTGCATGGCAAAATACTGATACACTGACCTCGGAGGACGAACTTTTAGAGTGCATCCTCCTGCAGGCGATCGCGCATCAAGCAGTTGAGGGACAAGGAAAGAGTTATGAAGTTCAGGGCTGAACTTTTTGTTTTAATTGCTGATTGATACAATGTATTTTAATTGCCCTGTTTCCCCTCAGTTTGAGATGATTGTACCAATGTCATTTATAGTTTCATAGCACCACGCCAATTATTCAAACCAGCGCATCGATGTCTGAAAATTACAGACTCTCAGTACATCAATGAGATACTGATTAAACGGCAGTATCAAACCATCGGTGTGACGCAGCATGAAAACAGACATTTCCTGTAGTGTTCATGCCCACTTCCTGTACTGAAGCCGCCGAGTGTGTTTAGGATCGAAAGACACTACTATTTTAGAACATTTAGTCACTGGTGTGATCAAAGGCAGGTTCTAAAAGTGCGTTGATAATGGAACCCCGTTTAAAACATGTGTCTTTAAGGCAGGCTGAAACGTTTTAAAGGTCAATTCATGCACACATCACTGAAGAGCCATGATGAATCAAGCATACTTGTGGAGGCCTGGAAAGGACAGCTCCAAATTATGGACGAATTAAGCAACGCAAGGCCGAAAGCGAACAAGGTTGCTGATTCTTCTGCCTTAGGAGTGGTAATGGTCGGGCTGAGTCCTGCTTGGACCCGGCATTGTCTCAGGATTCACGGGGTGAGGCGGTGGGCCTTGTCATGTTCAACATTGTCATTCGGCATTACGCTGCTTCAGGCATAAAGTCAAATTTCGGGATTGTTTGGAGGACAAGCTATCTCCCAGTCCTTTCTCAAATACGCCACCTCCAAATGCCATCGGGAAACAGCACCCTAAAATAACATTCATCCATTGCGACTTCGGGCTCCGTCGATTCCCGTTCAGGTAGTGGCCGATATGGACCTCTATTAGACGCAGAACAAGATATTGTTGACTCACGCCAGGGTATCCGCACGATTTCTATTCACGCACTTCTCTCAACCAATAGTCATTGGTCTGGAAACAGCATGCTTGCATTATCCAAGCTATTCATGACATCTCCAAGCTGCCTGACGGGTAGCTCGAAATAATAGCATTGCAGACCAAACAGCCAATCCGGTGTTTTTCGTTTATTGCTGAATTCCAGACACCTTAAATCATGGTGGACAAAGTTTGTGCTACATTCCTGATTTTGGAGAGGGCTTGACAGCTCGAACTGCATGGTCGTCGGCCTCGGAAAAGATCATGCACCAATACGTTCAATGCCAGCAGCGCTCGACCTCCACCAAATTAGTTGGCAACACTAAAGGCCACCTCGTCTTGCTAGTGGTCGCGCTGTCCGAGGCAGACTTCCCTGTATTCCGGGTCAACGGCTTTGAACATTGCTCTCCGGATCACGTCAGCGCCGGAGGGCCGGCTTGCCAGCCGGCCTGTTTGGATGTTCGCCTCGATCCAGCTGATTTGCTTAGTAGATGTTTGCCTCGATCCAGTCGGCGAAAGCTGTGAATGCGGGCGGAAGCGAGCAGTGATTCAGAATGGTGCTCACTTGATGGCAACGTCCTACATGCGTTCGGGCCTGCTGGGTGAGGACGTTATCAAACATTCGTAGACGATTGACAAGGATGGGGCATATCCACATAAAGAATGCTGTTTCGAGCAGATGATAAGATTCGCGAATTTTAAGAGCTGATTAACATGACTCACTTTGGATAAAACTATCGGGAAACTGTTTTGGCGTTGAAACTCTCGCGCAGAGACGATGGGATGGCTCGTCACGCTGCTCTTTTTTGCAAGTGAACTATGCTATATTTTTATGCACAGAAAGTGTAACATGAATAATAATTGTGCAAGAACTACACTGGCGCGATTCACGACAGTCTGACCCCATGTTTTTCGTTTATTCGTCCATATGATCATAGGAATGGGTTGTGTTACCACGTGGCATTTCCCGCACCAATATCAACGTGACAGCTCTCTATCATGCTTCACGACACTGCCCAGTCCTACAGAATGGCCCGAGTGTGCTGACTGTTCCACGAGTTACCCGAATTTGCTGCTGCAGACTAACTTTTGGGGGCCATGGAGTCCACCCGGCCAGGGGAGGTTTGGTCGCTGAGGTCGGCCGCATCAAGCAGCCGCCGGGCGGGCGGCACGAGCGACCACCAGGGAAAGAGCGGCCTGTTTAGAGGTGCGGTGTGGCGGCCCGCGGTTCTACAGACACGGATATGGTCTGGAGTGAAGCCACGTTAATGTGGGTGGTGGCACATTTGGTAGCCGGGAGAGAGCTATAGGGAAGTGTGGCGATGGGACGTGTGCCAGGGCAAACGGTGCCAGTCAATAATTTGTTTATGTTTGTCAGGATGTAAAGGGCACAAGCTTTGGCGAACCTGGATACAGCGGTAAATTACCACGCCCGTATTCTGTATCTTCAAGAGAAATGATTATCGCAAGCACATGAACATGCAAATTTGGTTTCGTGCAGTACTAAGCAACGTTCTGTGCTGCAGAACGATTAAAACGTGGAGGATAGTTACCCTCCAAGTGCGCGTTAACGCCCTGGCAAGACATGAGCTGCACCTTTATACGGGACAAAAGTTTCGTTGACGTCCTGATCAGGGGCGGTACAAAGTGTGCTTTCTGTCACAGACCGAATTTTTGCAGGCGAAATGTTCGCCAGAAGCGTAACGCGATACCACATAACACAATGATAATGAAGCCCATGCCCAGTACCGTCATCAGGAATCATCCTTTCACCGAAAGCCTCATTCATTAGCACAAGCTGCAGTATCACGTACACAACCAAAACGCTTATTTATATCATGAACACAATCAAAACGCTTATTTGTATCATGTACACAACCAAAACGCTTATTTACCCAATTTCCTGTAACTAATGTCAGGATAACTGCTACTCCCAAGAAAGCAGGCGCACTGGCCTTAGGCTATGGGATAATCCACGGCTGTATCTGGTCTCATTGACCGTGAAGAAAACAACGAAGGACCTCGGTAGCCGGGGCAGCTGAATCCATGGCACAAGTCGAGCGGGTGACAGACAGCACCTGGGGATTAAGACCAATGCGCGGGCCTCCGAGAAACCACGCCCGGCTATAAATCACGCGTGCCCTTCGATTCCTATCCAAACCGCCATCAAACTCTCCATCCTATCTTAAACATGCTGCAAGCCTGGCACGACATGTGCGGCCTGGTGGGCGTCTTTCGCTGTGCGCAAGCAACTAAATTGCATTGAAATTTGCTTATGACTTCACAACAGGCCGCTAGTTCTTTCTGAACAACATACTCACCCTGACAGGAGGGGATGAGAGGAGAGGGGCGGTGCGACCCCCACCCCCGTAAGGTGTTGTGGAATGAAATGCGTTACGAATGAAGTCCAGGTAAGGCCATGGAAGCGCGCTATAGCATTTTGTCTCGGCCGTCACCAAAACCGTCTGCCAAAAGCATTTTTGATACCAAGTGTCACGCAAAAAAAAACACATTTTTGTCGCCAGCCTCATCCATCAAGTCGGCAAGTTTTGCCACCCTTGATCCTGATTGCGAAATTCCCATGCGCTCTTTGAAATTTGCGTTATAACGGAACCTAGGGACATCTTTATTCACTTTTCACGACCAGCAACTAACCCCGAAACACGTCAGAAAACCTATCTACGTCAAGAAGCGCAGGAGTTGGCCAGGCTAAAAACCTTTCAGTCATTTCGAAATTGTATTTTGTCCTCACACACCACCTTCGAAAGCGCGGGAAGGACTGGCACACCGGGGGTGCAGTCGCTGAGCGTTTGAGATATGAGGTTCGATTCAACGCGCTGCCGTCCTTCCCCAAGGTGAGAGGGACGCCATATAGGGCGTCGTAAAGCTCCAATGGCAACGACGGCTTGATCAAAAATGGCGTGAGGGAAGCACTTTTCGGGTCTTCGTGGGCACGTTTACTGTCTCCCGACGCGTTAGAGCTAAAGGCCGACCATTGACCATCACCTACTGTATAGGATGACAGCTAGCCGGCAGGCGGAAATGCCGTTTCTCTGCTCACGTCTGCCGGCGTTGCCAGCGACGCCGCGGCCTCGCGATTGTTGGTTCTCTCAGGATGCTTAATGGATGAGATCAAACCGCCCCGGGCACCTGGCCTCTACTTCGGCTCAATACGAGGCAGACACGTGTAGCCAGTGCGGTTTAACCAGGACTGCCATCTAGCGACAGCCGATCTAACTAAGCATTTATCTCATTGCGGCCCGGCGCGGAGCGCGCGACGTTTCGAGAGCGACACAACGGTTGGCGCAAGAGGCACTGATCGTGCCTGCAAGCAGAGGCAGCAGGATGCAGAGATGAAGCTACACCGTCATTGCGAACTCCATTCCACTATATGTTACATGCCAATCGTGTGAACAGAATCGTTCATGGGACAAATGAACGACTGCTCGGTTCCAAAACCCTCGCAAAACACAGCACCGTGACAATTAGCCGATCACATTTGTTTTGACATAACCCACCAACCTTCGGCAAAAGCCCCACGTCCCAACGCCGGCTGGTGTATTAACTACAGTGCCAGGCTACTGTGTGGGCTGTGGGCTGACCGAGCCGGGTGTCGGCGTGGTCTGGTTGTCCCTGCTTGGACCGGTATTAGCCGCGTCACAACGGAGGACTGCTTAACATTTTTACACGTCAACTTGCCCCCAGTAAAATGTCATGCGGGCGCAGTCAACGACCAGGTGTTTAACGAGTAAACAGGCCACCGCTACAAGTGACAAGCGCCGCGTGGGAGCGCGTTTTTAGACACGAGAGGAAATACTGTTAACAGGACACCCTGGCCACAACTACGATGAGTTGTATAGCTTTGCTGCGGCCACACTGGTCGCAAGCGTGTAGGGGGTAAGGCAGCACTCTGCATCCGGCTGGAGACCAATGGGTGGACAGCGAATGGAGAACAATCACGACCATCTGAGCTCTCCTCGCGATCTGAGCTACATGCTAGCTACACCAAAAGCGAAACTAGTGAGCAGCAGTCTATGGAGGGTTAGTTAAATTTCAGCCAGAGGCAGCAGCTACTGTGTATTTTTTACCCTGCAGTGACGTACCATTTTAGTAAAGGTTATAAGCACGTTTCACATTCTACTTAAATATTGTCATTCAACGTAAAAAAATGACAGCAGGAAATGGTGCTCCATTTTCTCTGAGCAACAAAGCCCGCTTTTCCTAGGTCACTGGCCCATTCACCCTCCGAAAATGAAGCTTCCAGAAGAGAAAAAACCGAAGCCAAAAATTAAGCACGCTTAATATTAAGGAGAAATTACAAGTAGAATCAAAATGGAAAAGAACGCTTGAAACTATGTCCTACGACGCAGACATCGCGGCCCAATTTGGAGCACTTTTCCTGGTAGAAACTTACGGCGACATACCATTTTAGGGGCAGGGTAGTCATGTCGGCACACAAAAACCCGGAATGCATCTGTGCGAGCGCAAACAGCCAGCTTTCATAATCACTGCCCGACTACGCAATCTGACGCTAAATCCCATCCCATGTCTGCATGTAAGCGAATGCGTCGTTTAAAGGAATGCTGCACATTTAAACATATTGAAGCTCAAACTCTGTGCTCCTCAACACGTCATTGTTTGATTACATCACACAATACACAACACTGATTGAGAGCCAATTGACTGCAACTGTATCTGGAAATCACGTTCTCGAAAACCACATATGGACCGACTCCACAATTACGTTTTTCTTGGCCATGATTGCCGCAGGGCTGATGAAATGGCGGGATTTAAATGACGTTATTATGGCGTCATGAATGCCTTGGTGACCTTGAAGCAGTCCCCCGAAATATTCGGCACATCTTCGTGGGCGCGCAGCTCGGAAACTAAAGGGGTTTCGGCCTTGAGAAGGGCGGAGCTGTAAAATGTCCCGAATGTACTTCAAGATGGCTTTTTCAGTTCAAAACCCCGTACAAATGTGAAGCACTCCCTTAAATGGCGTCAGAAAATAGCAGGAACATTTCATGATAGATCGAAAAGTGCACGACACCCAGATCTCTCAGATCATGACTTAATTGGGTTATAGGGTAGCCATCAGCGATGAAGTCACATGTGACAGTTTTAAATCTTTCAATTACACTGTTTCTAACTTAAAGAATTCGGCAATTTGTTGCAATTGCAATTTGTTGAGTTGCAAAATAAACTATTTCACTGTGCCTTTTACCTTTCTCCTTCTTACCAAAATGAGCCTCTTTCACTGCGTTCTGTCTTTTTACAAGCTCATAGACAAACCGTGCAGCCTTTCGCCTGGCTCCCGGCGGCAAAGACAAAACGAGGGGGCCAAGCTTGATCCAGGATGGCGGCACTGACCGATCGTATAGAAGTACAGAGTGCAGCGGTTCCAGGTCAGGAGACATTTGAATCAGGACCCAACAATTGCCGTCACTGATGCTGGCTGTTGTCATACCCCCCCCCCCCCCCCCCCCCTCTTCCCGGAGCTTGCCACCGCCTGTGCGGCGGCACGCGCGGGGAATACTGCGTCGGCAGCCGACTCCGGATGGCGTGAATGAAGCGTAAGCCTGTATTGCGGTATTTTTTCCAATCCTTGCCAAGCCGATAACCGCCTTTTACAAATGGCTCATAGGGTTCAATCTACTCTCTTTCGCATGCAAAGGAGAAAAGATTCGAAATTGTGTTGGGAAGTTCTCTGCATGCGCTACTAGTGTTCAAAGTGTAGCAAGCAATGTTGCTTTTTTCAATGACGATTCCAAGCACGACACACACGTAGGCTGAAAGGTTTTTGTAATGTTGTCAGATAAAGCTTTTTACGGATTTCTTCCATCCCAGTGAAAAAATCGCTGTCGAGCGTACCCTTCAACCACACAACCCGAAAGTGCCGGAAGCCGTAACTAAAAACCACTCAATTGAAAGACCTGAAACTGTCAGACGTCTTCAGCACCGCTGACAACCCTAGTGGCCCATTTATCCGTAATGATGTCGATTCAATCCAATCCGAAAGATGAGGCTGCAAAATTGGCCCTTCGATCTGCCTATTTGTCGTGGAATATCCTAGCAAGTGATTTGATGATTGTGCACATGGCATCTAATTATCTTGTAAACTTGGTCTGAATGCTTGTGCGCTTTGAAACATAACATAAACGGTTTAACTAATTGGCAAGAACACGGGCGGGCCTAAGAGAATGAAATGGCAAGTACCTTGATTCCCTAGATGTTCATCTACTCCTGTGTTTTATTGGTAATATAGTTAACAGAGTGTTCAAAAGGCGACCGCAAAGGATATTTTCGCCTCTCTTCCATGTCCCCTTTCGAGTCTCCCCCGATGGCCACTGGCCAGAGACGCGGTCGTTTGCGCCCGGGAAACCTTCCCCTCCCGATGGCCACCGACCAGAAACGCCTGTAAAGACATCCAGGAAGCCCCCCCCCCCCCCCCCCCCCCCACACACACACACTTACCTCGCCCCAATGGCCATTGGTCAGAAGAGACACGTGTGAAGATACGCGGAAAGCCATTCCCTTTCCTATCCCCCCCCCCCCCCCGCCTGAAGGCTACTGACCAGAGCCGCGCGTGTAGCCCCCCCCCCCCCCCCCCTCCCCCGGGTGGCCACCAACCAGAGACGCGTGTGTAGACGCCCGGGAAGTTGGCGTGGCCGCAGCCTCTGCCAAAGCTGACAACGCCTTCCAGCACGAAAGCGCCGTCGGCCCCTGCCACCGCCAGCGGACCACCGCTGTCGCCCTGAAACACGGCCGTCGTCAGCGGTCAACGGTATGCTACTGTTGTCCTGAAACAAGGCCGTAGACGTGTCGCCTGTCGCTCTGGAACACGCCCTAAGCGCGGCCGTCACCGTCAGGGACTAACGCTGCTGCCCTGAAACACGACCGCCGTCAGTCAGCGGTCCGCCGCTGTCGCCCTGAAACGCGGTCGTCATCGGCTGTTGCCAGGGTCCGGAGATTGGTGCGGGCGTCTAGACGGCTGCTAACAGGGTCTTGGGGCGAGCGGACTAAACTCCGGAGGTATATTGCTGCATCGAACAGCAGCTGCTAAACGACGGGACAAGTGACTGTCGGGGGCTCGAGACACGTGAGTCTCTATTTCAGACGTGAGGGTGTGTCATAGTACTTTATTAATAGTACCAACACAAGGAAGAACGCGAGCCTTGTCAATGTCCGGGAGGTAGGATCATTTTGTCGGGGGAGCTGTGCAAAAACAGTGTCTTGGAAAGTTCATCAAACGATTTCCAAGTACGTGCCTTGCTTACAGGTCTATGCAGGTGCTGACAAATTACTTTACTTCGGTTTCTTTAGAGCCAGGCTTTGACCTTATTACAACGTATGCCGTTCTACCGAAGTAAGGTGACAATCGCACACAATCATCGAAAATCAAACCCGCGGCTGTTGCTGATTCTTCGATTAGTTTATAACAAGCTGACAGGTTTGCTAACTGCTCACGGACGGTCATCGTTCGGGTGTAATTCCCAATTTAAAAAAAAAACCGGCGGCCTGAGAATGCCAGTGATAATGCGCAGGGTTCTGGCCATCAGGCGATAGTACAATTAAACCTATGCATCTGCGATGCAATTGCGCATGGAGAGCTATTGCATGGCGTAATCGGACGTCGGATCTGATATCACGGACGAAGCAAAAGCGCACCGTCATGCAATGCTCAACCTCGGCTACACTTAATAACAGTGCATCGCGGTGTGCACGCCGCATGTGGTGAACAAAGAACACGATGCGAAGATATCCACGACGCGCCCCATTCCAGTCAGCGCAGACTCACTGCCGACTCAGTCTCAGCCTCTACTGCCTCACTGCCGAGGTCCACGTGCGGGGCTCCACCCCTCCCCCTCCCCCTCTCCTCCACCCCCTGCGCCGCCCGTGGCCACAGGGTCGATGACCAGATACCTGACAGGTGTCGATCTCGCCGAACTCGAAGCCAGCGCACAGCATGTTGGGCAAGATGGGCACGACATCCTGATAGGCGTAGAAACGGCGCTGGCAGTTGCGGTTGTCGATGATAGGCACCTCGCCTCGCTGCACGACCGTCGGCTGGTCAAAGGCTGCGGACGGGGGCACGTCCATGTGTCATCAAATCCTTCAGATTACTGTGGGTGTAATTGAACATCCTTGGCCTGGGCTTGACGTACTTTTAAAAATGCCTTTTAACATGTTAGGTAACCCAGTCATGGCGTCGGCGGCGTGCAGTAGTGCTGTTATGGGCATTATATTCCGCTGGAGTATCTTTACATACAGCTGGAGTATCATTACATTTACCTGGAGTATTTTACATTCAACTGAAGTATCATTACAATCATCTAGAGTAGCATTAAATTCCACTGAAGTATCATTAAAATCAGCTGGAGTAGCATTACATTCAACTGAAGTATCATTACATCCAGCTGGAGCATCGTTACATTCAGCTGGAGCATCATTACATTCAGCTGGAGTATAATTACATTCGGCTAGAATACCACTGCATTCAGCTGGAGTATCCTCGGTCACTGCGTTGAGCAGGCTAGGATCTGATGATAAACACCCCTGGGCGTAACTCGCGCGGGTGCGCGACGATGAATAGCCGCTCCAGACGCATCACTTCGCAAAATGTACTCCCTCGGACCGTCCCACCCAGCTAGCCCGAGATCCGTAACAGCAGTCAATACTGAGCTGGGTGTCATCAGTGTTTTGTGTCTGTTATCAGTTATATAATTATGGATGTCGTGTACACTAAAACTGTTGTTACTGCCATATCGTGCACAACATTTGCTACCTTACACGAGAAGTGTGCTAATATTTCACTTTCTCTGAGCAGTAATTACAGCCTCCGGGATGTGGAAACCCTTTTGTACCTGATTATACCTCAAACACTGTGATGACAGTTTGCACTTCAAAATGAGATGCAGGTGTAATTTGTCTCTTTTGGCCTGAACTTGATATATTTTACAAAGCCTTTTAACATGTTCGCTAGCCCAATTAGGCCAAACAATGTTGAACGCCAACGTAAAAAAAGCTTCGTTTTGGCGTGTCAAAGTGACGCGACCCCGTTTTGCCGTGGAAAGGCATCTCCGTGTTTGGCCAGACCGGCGTCCCCGTGTTGGCCCAGACCAGCGTCCCTGTGCTGGCCCAGATCAACGCCACCGTGTTGGCCCAGACCAGCGTCCCCGTGTTGGCCCAGACCGGCGTCCCCGTGTTGGCCCAGACCAGCGTCCCTGTGTTGGCCCAGATCAACGTCCCCGTGTAGGCCCGGACCGGCGTCCGCGTGTAGGCCCAGACCGGCGTCCCCGTGTAGGCCCAGACCGGCGTCCCCGTGTTGGCCCCGACCGGCGTCCCCGTGTAAGCCCGAACTGAAATGTCCGTGTTGGCCAGGGCCGGCATCTCGGTGTTGGCCCGGACCGGCGGGTCTTGGCTTGGCTTCGGCCAGCGCCTGCGTGCAGCCCTGACCGGAGTGGCCGGGCTGGGCCGGGCCGGGCGGTGCCGGCCGATACTCACTCTCCTGCTGGATCAAGCCCCAGCCGGCGATGACCGCTGTCTGGCCGACCAAGCAGCTGGCAGGGTCCGTGATGGTACACGTCCTGTGCGGCAGGCAGATCGGCAGCACCGCCGACGACGCGTCGTAGAAAAGGTCCTCCATCGAGGACGAAAGCCTGTGGAGGGCGGGCACACGCGCGGCTCACCGGCACGTGGGGACGCGAGCGAACGTGGCAGCATCGAAACAAGTCTGGACGCGACGGCTCCGGCGCGGGGCCCACCACGCTTCCAATGAGAAAAACGAGTAAGGTGCAAAAGACAGCATCTCCCACCTGAGCTCCCACGGCCACCTCTCTCACCTGAGCAGGGCGATGTCATTACTGGAGATGTAGGGGATGTAGTCCGGGTGGATGATGATTTCGGCCACTTTGAACCGCACTTCAGACGGATCCGCCTCAGTCGTGTGTTTGTTCACCAGAATGTCCAGCTCGTCGGCGTCAAAACTGCGCGGCACGATGCCCACAGCACAGTCAGTGACGAAAAAGCACACGCAAGCCATGCAAACTGACATACGATCACCATGCAAACGGACGTACGATAGTGGACACGCAGCTGCCTTGTCGGCATTTGTTGGCATAGCAATTTTATTATGAATATAACAGCTCGTGAAATGTAACCTTACCAGCTCACTTCAGTGTTTCAGGGAGTCCAGCAGCATGCACGTCCCGTTACCTTGTGGAGAAGCACCCAACCATTACCTGCAGCACCCCCAGCGGCAGGCAGTGGCACTCACATGCGAACGCAGTGGGCTGCTGTCACGACGAAGAACTCGCTGACCACTGTGGCCATGCAGAAGACGAACGGGTCGTCGCGCGCAGTCATAGCCGCCTGCAGCAGATGGACACACGTCAACACTGTGGCCATTTTCGTGCTGGTCGCTGCGTAGTGAGCTTTTTTGAGCAGAGACGCTCTCAGCGGACAAACCTTTACAAGCCGCGCGTCCGGAACGCCAGACAGCGGAGCAGCCGGCTCTCTCCTTATCACTAAGAAAGAACATTGTCCGAGACTTGCTTTTTTAAGTGAGCATACCTTATTCTGATGATAATCGATCTACAGTACACTGGGAGGTGCTGGATAAGCGACGTTCTAAAAAAAAGAAAACATTGGCTAATGCCTATGTTGACAACAATGGACGTTTCGAAGCTGAGTTCATGTTCACGACTGGCCATGAGTTCAGCTGGTATAATAAAGGTAGATTAATACCGGAATGAGACCTTCCAACTTTTAATGTCGGAAAACCAAGAGCCTGCTTCCCACGTAATATTAAGTTCTATCGTTTTACTCCCACGCAGCACACGACCTACGCTACCCGCCGGCCGAGCTGTGCGAGCGCAGCGCTGGCCCGCGGAGTCCCACGCAGCATGTGGCCGTACGCTTCCGGCCGGCCGAGCTGTGCGAGCGCAGCGGGCCCGCGGAGTCCCACGCAGCATGTGGCCGTACGCTTCCGGCCGGCCGAGCTGTGCGAGCGCAGCGCGGGCCCGCGGAGTCCCACGCAGCATGTGGCCGTACGCTTCCGGCCGGCTGAGCCGTGCGAGCGCAGCGCGGGCCCGGGCTCCGCTGCAGTCCGGCCTCGCCCACTTACCAGCCAGGGGTACTCCCCGGGCAGGGCGTCCGTGCCGCCCGTGATGCGGCTTCCGGTGCCAGAGATGCCACACGCGACGCTCCGGGGCTGCAGGAAGCCGCTCAAGCCATCTGTCTCAGAGGGGGGCGCGTCGGATTGTCAGAGTCTTAAGCCGGCCTCAGGCACAGCTGCCTCACCGCCCACTGGCTGATGCACGGCAGCCTCAGGCACAGCTGTCTCACCGCCCACTAGCTGATGCACGGCAGCCTCAGGCACAGCTGTCTCACCGCCCACTAGCTGATGCACGGCAGCCTCAGGCACAGCTGTCTCACCGCCCACTAGCTGATACACGGGGTTTGCATGCACACTGATATGATGACTGACATTTCTGTATGCATTTGTTGCTTTCATGGCACAACCCTGGCAGGTGACGTCAGTTCACTTCCACGGAATCTACCACCAACACCATTCCAGATAATGTCCATCGACGCTGTCCACCGCCATTCCAGATAATGTTCACTCCGTAAACGGACTCTTGGGGTAGCACCGGAGGGGGATTTTGCATCGGTTTTCACTAGACGTGGTAAAATCAATGCCCAAGATCAGAGAGCCTATTAGGGCACCGACAAACCAGCTGGTAACTTCTCTGGCTCAATCTCCATAAATCCCCCTCGGCGACCCGTATCCAGTTTCGCAAATTTGTGCAGCCTGTTTAATTCAGTTAATTAACACTGTCTGATTAGCACCACATGGGAAACATTCCGGGCTGCTCAGTGCTACATTTTTGCGGTTTCCCGCGCGAAAAAAACCGTCATCAGTGGTGCAGTTTCCTGCTCAGCTGGAAGGCTCATCCAAATCTGAGAAAAAAATACATAATATTTAAGAAGGCCGCTATGGGTTCGTTTTAGGTGAATTTCGGTGATGATCTTGTCCTGCCCAATTCCTCCCGCAGATCAACTGAGAAACTACGCCCCCGATCCTATTCCCCCTTGATTCGTATATGGCTTTCTACATTTTAAGTTACGAGTTCTTATTTACAAAAATCGACCTTCGATATGCCAACAGGTAATGGTTGAACAATTCCATCATGGTGGCATCTATGTTCGCCAAGCTTGACATGCCAAGCTGTGCACATGGTCATGAGTAAATAAGTTTAGGCAAAAAAGGCACTCAAAAGTAATCGTTTGTTGTAATGGTAAGTTTCCACGCCTCAGGTGGTGCCTATGGTCAAGACTGAATCAAAAAAGCTAAACAAAACATTAAAAGGGATGTTCCACATTTCATAGTACTGGAGCAAGCATCATATGGGATGAATAAGCTCACTTATAACTATTGGTATACTTTTAAGTGGAGATGCTGCTCCACACAACACAGTTTCTCTGTTTAGTAACCATGCTCCTCAATACGTCATTGTTTGATTACGTCATCGTGTCATCCTGAACATTGACTGAGAGCCAATTGTCGGCCGTTATATCTGGAAATCGTACTCACAAGCGCCAGACATGAACAGCTCGATAATTATACTTTCCTTAGCTGTGATCGCCGCATGACCAATAGAAAGGCAACATTTGAATGACGCCATTATGGCGCAATGGATGCCAGCGTGACCTCCAAATAAGACTCCCGAAGTAGTGTACACATCTTAGTGGGCGTGTAGCTCAAAAACTAGGAAGCAAGGCTGGATCAGAGTGTTAATCAGGATCGAGATATTGTGTATTTAATCAAATCGGGATTATGATGAGAATCTTCAAAACTTTACGAAGGGCAGGGCTGTGATATGTACTGAATAATCTTTACGACGGCTGTTTCTGTCCAAACCCCGCGCAAATTTGGGGCACTCCCTTTACGAAACTGAAATGCGCAACCTTTGACCACCTTGTTTTGCTCAAAGTTGTCAGTCCGCGCGCAGCCTCATACATACATACGCGCAGCCTCAAGCATCGAGTTTTGTTAACATAGCCGATGCCTGCATACAGACGTCGCTTAACCAGTACCTCCTGACATACCGAAGTTCAGTTATTGACAGCATACGATCTCCCAACTTATAATCCGTAAAAGACCGTTGGCTTAAGATCGTTCTTGCTTACATCAAGTAAAACTGCATTAAGTAAAATTAAAAAAGTAAGAATTAAATAAAAAGTTGGTACCTTACATTGATGAGCGCATCAGTAGACAGGAGTTCAGGAATAGAAGGGGGGGGGGGTCAGGGGTCAGGTGGTCTCAGCCCCAATTGCAAGAACATGTAGCAATGCTGCTATGAATGTTGACGAAATAAGTAGCTCAGAACGGCTGCCCGTCCTCCAACCTGGGAAAGATTCCGTAGCACATTTCAGTATGCATGGTCCCTGTCGTTCGACAGCACGCGTTGTACTGCAGTCGCACGGTGCGACCGCAGTGGACTTGGCTCAGTTATCGCCGGTGACTGCGTAGTCGTGTGGATGCACAGTTCGGGTTCTGTAGCCGATTTTCGCTACCGCTGACCAATTGCAGTAGTGTTCGTCTGCGACGCTCTGTGACATGGTAGTCAGGTCTAGTGGTGACTAGGCCCAATGCCCGATTGGATCATTGTGAACACTGAGAAACGCAACATAGCGCGATCAGTTGTGGATCTTTTCACACGCAGGATGCGCACTTACTGCCTGTCATTATGGCCATGTTCCAGAACCTGTTACGGTGCCTAGAGTGTATGTAGCCGTCCCATCAACTGGGTTCAGCATAGTTTTCTACAGCCACTACATAATTCTTTTACCAAAAAATTGCTCCCACCTAAGCGTGTAATTTTGCAACGCACTATCATCTTAAGACACTTGATTTTATGAATCTTGGTTGGAGGAGTTTCAAAAGCGGTCAGCAGTCATGCGACTGCCTCAACACCTCTTATTTAAATATATAATCTGAACCTTTTGAATGAGTGGATTTCTGGGATCAGAGCTCACACTAAGCAGTGCTTGCTCTGCAAGCCCTAACCCCCACTTTCCGATTGCATAATTCCAGGTTAACGGCAGATCTTGATGGCAGAAAGTTTATGGTGCCGCAATATTTGGCTCGGTTCGCTCTGCTCTCTACCACTACCTGACATTTCGCGTGGCCGCTCGCGCCACCGCCAATAGGCTATACCTGTCAATGGGAAATAGCGAGTGCCAGAACCAACTCCAACCCATCCCGGCACGGTTGGGTTGATCAAAAGGCAGGCGCTTTGACGAACTGAGCCATCGTGACGGACAAAGTGATACAGGGTCAGTTAGACACTTGATACTTGCCACGCAGCAGTTCAGCACACCCACCTTTGTAACATTCTCACAGCTTACAACGAAGACGAAATCATTGGCTGCATATTTTCCATTTCATCTGGACGGGAGGGAAACCTTTGTTCCCAAATTGGGCACCAGCCCCCCCCCCCCATCCCCAGTTTGAAATGAAGCTAGGGGCAAAATCTGGGAGTAGCCCATTTGTTGGAAAATCTTGGGGGCAGGCTCTGTTGTTTTTCAGCGCTCTGCTCCCCCCCCCCCCCCCTCTGCAACTTAACAGCGGCATAGTCTTGCAAAACTATGCCCTTGTTGCAGGCACACCATCCTGCATCGTGCCAACTTGTGAAGAACGTCAGCAACGGTCTAAGGGCTGCTTAATTTGATATTTTCGGTTAAATGCAAGAGAAGAGGATTGGTGATAATCTGTATGTAGTTCACATTTTACAGGTTACGACACTACCTTGTAGACAATTTGGGAAGACACATTTACGATTTACAAAGCTGTTGCTACGTTAAGCTTATTTATTGAAAATCAAATCTAACTCGGACATCAAATCTGACTGTAGGACTGTGAAAATCAAAGTACTGTAACTGAAAATCACCTGGTCATGTGGTGCGGTCCAGGCTCTCAGATACGTAAGCCTAACTGTTAGCACTTGGTCTTGACACAGCGCTCAGTTTTTCTCAGGAACTAAATACACAAGGACATGGCCGGGATCTTGTTTCTCACTTTCGTTATCTGTATCACACAGGCATTTAACATACCCAAACTTTGTGATGTCAACAAATGACAGCCACAAATTCGGGTGGAACCAACGACTCTTGTTAATATAAGATTGCCTAACAAGTCTGTCTCAACCACGTACGACCAAAAACAATATGCACACATGCATTCATACGCTTACCTCATTTACTCCTCATACAATATTGATATATACTCACCACGAATGACGCTACCATTTAAACGTTAAACAGCTCTGTTGAAAGGTCGCTCTAGAAGTGAGATAAAGCTTCGAAGGCGCTTCGAATTGGGAGCGGCATGACTGCAATGTCAAATTCTCCTTGTGTTGATATTCCGTCTTATGCTGTCTTTGTAAACAATTATAAATGCTCTTGAGTGGCAAATAAATGATAACGATTTAACCGCACTCACAATATTGTTATTCTGCCTCAGTTGCTAACTACTCCGCTATTATGCGGAGGACCGTTGCGCTTACCCTGCGGAGGCCCGGCCAGGTCCTGAATGGCGTTGGATGCCTTCGAGTATGCATTCTGGATGGAGGGTGGGGTCAAGACCGTTCTCAGCGGCTGGATGCCACGGTACCGAACCCCCTGAAAGGATTGAGACACGCATGACTTGTGCAAATGTTGGCAACGCGGACGAACGTACTCAAAAGTTTGGTTCAGGATAACACTCTTTTCTTCTCCCAATCTGACAGTTACGAACGCGGATTCATGCTTTTTGGAATGCTCACGTTCGTCTGTATCTAGAAGCGTGAGCTTATGCTGTGTTGCATTTAATATCGTTTACTTCGTATTCCACCTTCTTTGTTTATCCCTATTTGTGTTGCGCCTTGGAGGCATTGGCTACAACCAGGATGGATCCACTACCTTCAAGCCTCATGCCCATTGTCTGTGACGTGGTCTTACAGCGGAAATATCCAGATTGTTTTATGGCAGGAGGTACAATTCGAAAACGCACGTAAGAAAGCGAAGGCGAAAGCGGGTAAAGACATCCGACGTCACAAAGCACAAGCACAAAGGGACTACCGTTGAACGGCAGAGCACAACAATACGCCTAATTCCATTTTAGTTGATATTTCTCTGATTCACTTTTGTGGGTGTCACTTTCAGCAATGACATATCATGGTACAAGCGACAGGTTTCACACGGCTATTTGGAGAAAACTTTTCTAACAGCCGTTTCCAACAATATGGAAGCTACCAAAATAATGGTGCAGTACAGCAGGAAGCCTGAAATGGAGAGTCAGTCAAGTAACTAAAATCGCTACACATCTAGACTAACCTCAGAGGAAATTCGTTGCCCGAGTACGGACAAGACCAGCTACCTCACGGGTATTTTGCGTCCTTGTAGATCGATATCATCATGAATTTTAAATGCTCAAGAACGCATGTGTATTTCTGGAAATCAGCAACTTGAAACAAAATTCAATAACACAAATGGTTGACTATCAATTTTCAGAAAATGAAATAGCATCGAATACTCTTCATTAACAGAACGCAAACAATTTCAAAAATGTCCAACCGAGTCCTTTTCTTACCACAACCAACTGAAACTGATTCAGGGAAAACTCGAGACCGGTCTTATTCTCAATCACGCCAAAGAAGCCACCGGTATTCGCATGTAAGCGGACGTGCGTGAGAGGCGCGTCTCACCTGAACAGAAGCGCAGAGGAGCAGAGCTGCGCAGAAGTACCACATCACGCCTCTGGTGCCGAGCGGGGACTGGCCTCGCTGCCGCGCCGCCTCCGAGGCGCGCGTGCAGGGGTTGATGACACCAGTTTTCCACGCACCGGTCTGCCCCCCCCCCCCCCCCCTCCCCCCCCCCACACTCTCAGCGGGAACCTGCCGCGCGGTTCGCCGCCGATCCAGCGGGCGATACCTCGGCGCGGTAAGGCGTTCGTGCGCGGTGATATACCGGAAGAGTTCAGGGCGGTGTTCCCAGTTCTACAAAAGTGTGGCTCATGGCGTGGCTTCCTGAAGATGTCTGCCCTTGAAGCTGGTGTGGAACGCTCAGCCGGAGATAAATGCTGCGTTTTTCTGATCATGTAAGTTATAATGGCGCCTCATTTCCTGAACTGGTTGCATTTGCCCTTGAACTCGGATTTAGCGTCCAGTGCCAGGGCCCTTGCTGAATCGAGGAAAGGAGCGCCCTCCCAGCATGTTTAATGTGTGGACATAGGTGACGTGGTAGTGTGGCTGGGCGATGTGATGACTTGCATCGAGCAGCGGAAACGCTGCACAGATCGTGGGTGTTTTTTAAAGCCGGGCGGTAAAATAAATGTGACCACCACAAATTCGCGGTGTTTGCTTGAAATCTTCGCGCAGGCGGGAGCATCCGTCCTCATCTCCGAAGCCTTGAAACCTATGGCATACGGGCAACGGTGATCGATCTATAAATGAACAACGATATATTGTAACGCGAAACACGCACAACATCGCAAATGAAAGCTTGTGATCATAACGTTCTTTGTTGTTTGAGATAAAATGTGGAATGGCAGTGGCGGACACAGGACATCGTCCATCTCCTTCCCCTAGATCCGCCTCTGCCACATCCTTCGTCGGTCCGCAGTTTTTGTGCACTGAACATCGAACTAATGGGCGACTAGCATGACACGAGCAAGCCGTTCATGATTTCTTTACGGAAAGAGGCATCGATTCATCGTGACATACCCTCCCTGCAAAGCCTTGGCATGCAGATTCGGCAATTTATTCTTTGACACGCGCTCGGGCGGCCGGCTGGATACCCTTTGCCCGGTTGGGGAATCAATTTGAACCTCTGTGATCTCAGGAATTAAGAGGGCTAGACGCAACCAATTTCACAGGAGGTTTTAGCCTGTACGTGAACTCCCTTAGGGCAAATTTTGAGGTTCCTAGGTCATGATCTTCGTGTCAAATAAGATCAAACAATGTCAAACTCCAAGTTGGTCCTTAAAGTGTCCCCAGAACCTAGAACCTACCTGTTCCAAGCAAAAGTTCACCTGCTCATTTGGGAGAAGTGACCTTGTTTGACCCTTTGAAAGCCATGGTCACCGAAATTATACAAGACTGCTTTGAGTTTTGCATTTGAATAACCGGCAAAGATTACGCTAGGTAGTATGTTCTTAAAAACGAAATCTTGATTCCGTTGTTCCATCAGCTTGAACGATTCCCTAGAAATTGACTTCCCCGAATTCGTGGACTGACTTTTACCTGCCGTAGGTCAGCGAGCTTACAAGGTACATCTAACTTTTTAATACCACACAATCCGCCATTCAACTGCCGACAGCTATGCTAAACTTGGCGCGGCTACGCGGTGCCGTTCGGAAACCATTCCGGAAAAACCCTCGGGGGTTCATTTGACCCTACCGGAGCGCGTGTTAACATATGCTGGGCGGATGGGTTTCGTGATGCACAATTTACTTCTAGTGATGAGCTTTTCATTTATCATTACACATTTCTTTTGCTTTCGCTCCTCCTCATCGGTGTCTGAGATTCCTTTTATTTGGGCGGGCGGGGGGAAGGGGGGGGGGGTGATGTCACTATTTACAAGGCCATGGATACAGTATATAATTGCTAACGTGTTAACCGTCACAAAAGTGGTTTGAAACACACCACATTTGACTGCTTACTAACTGTTCTGGCATTCCTCCTTCTTTTTTAGGCTTCGATTACCGTCCTGCTGGTCTGGTACCCTGACTATGTACAAGTATATCCTAATTGCCCACTTCCTCACCATCCACTGTCCACTGAAAACCGTATGGTAATAGAGTGATAGTTACTCGTGATCGTTAGCAACGCCTGCTTTATTTGAAACTGTAGAAAACACAGCTCAGGTGCCGAATGACCTAGAGGAACTCCTCTCAGCCTAGCTGTAAAGATTACACCACACACCGACGAAACCACGTTGCCACGATTTGAATTCAGTAGAAGTTGAAGGCGCCTATTTTTCACAGCGTAGCGTGGAGTTGAAGGGGACTGGGTCTGTCAGCAAGTTTTCTTAGTGAAGATACCTAGAACAATCAAGATGTATACGATGGGCGCTTCTCGACCCCCTAAAAATCCTGAATTCACGACGTATGTCTCCTTTTTGCCGCAGCTCTTCCAAAAAGGATGCACCGCAATGCGGCAACCATTATTTTATTGTTGGGCCAGTGTTGGGACCAAATCCGCCGGATTACTGCTTCTCAGCAAACTCCGAAATTAGGAGATACCCAATAAATTGGAAACATACCAAAACGTACTACAACCAAAATGAGTAGTTGAACTGCACGTACAAACGACCCGTTCAATTAAGCTACCGATGACGTTTGGGAAGCCAATCTCTATCAACGACTAGGCAATGATGTAAAGCGCTACGCGAACCATGAGTGTCAGCGGGATGCCGGAGACCAGCAATATCAAGCAGTAGCAACATTAATATTTGGTCTGGTTCGTTGGTGGGACTGTGTTTCCTTCTTCTGGTAACTCCGTCAGTGCTTGGCGGACGGAGATACGCTTTGGGCTGAACTGAAAGCCAGATAATAACCACTGCACTGATCCGCGGTTTTGATAATACGGACTGATGTGGGGGAAGGGGGAGGGGCGATTGGACTCGCGCCGTTCTCGACATAAAAGATGCCTTCAACGAAACGAGTGGTGGAAGCACACCAATGGCAGAATGACACTTCTGCCATTCTAATTTCGTTTATAAAAACGAAATTAAATTCGTTTTGATATGGGCATGTTACCGAAATATCAACGCATTTGTATTTCCATTCTCCTGGTTTTTCCCCGAAGTATAACGGTATCACTGTTGTCTTTTCTATGGTAAGGAATAAAGTTTTAGATAACTAAAAGGTTTTAGTTGGTAGAATGTACTTGAATACAAAAATCAGCAAGGTGCACATTTTAGATCTGCCTTCCTTTTTCTGACTGCAAACCATGCCAGCTCCTTGCCCTAATAAGGAGATCCAACCACGCCCCCCCCCCTTCCTCCTTAAAGTGTCTTGAGGACATTTCTGTGGGAGATTTTGCAATCGCAACTTGCAACCCAAATTTTTAGTAGCCTATGGGACATTCATTGTGCGTGTTTTGACATAAGAAATGTGCTTCTAGCTATTTTGGCCACGGAACAGTAGCGGTTTTTGAGGAATACTGCTCGGCAATCTACTGCCGGCATGGGTGGCAGACGACAACTGACAAAGTCGCGGAACGCGCGCGAACGGCATTGCTACAGTAGCTGAGTCATGTGTTATCAATCCTTACTCAAAGCACATAAAAATATACACTATTGTACTCAATGAACTCAATGGAACAAGGAACACGCCTGTTTAAGCACCGTGTCGCCACAAGGCATGGTCTTGTAGGCATGATGTAAAGTTAAAAAAGAAGATTTTCAGGAAAATTCGACCCTTGAATTCCATCTATAGTTATGAGTGTGGAAACACGAGGGGTAGCTTCGAAACCCCGCCTGCCAGTCAGCGTTGTGAAAAACGATGAATCAGGGTGAGGGTTACAGAGACAGGTCAGATCAATTGTATTTTGTGCGAGACAGCCGTAAGTTATTTTTTTACCTCTGATGCAAGCCTCAGAAATGATAAAATAACGTCACTTATAACTTTTCATATGCTCTAAAGGAGAAATTATTACACTGGACAAAAGAGCGTCTCCTTTTCGTTAACATGCCCCACAATGTGTCATTGTTTGACTGCGTAATCGCACGCTGCGCGACAAGCATTGAGAGCCAGTTGACGGCCGTCATATTTAAAAAATATCGTTCACGAACGCTAGAAATGCCAAATGGACAATTATATTTTTACTGTCCTTAATGGTCCCATGATTCATGAAATGGTAGGATTTGAATGACTTTTTTATGACGTCAGGGGTGCCCGTGTGACCTTGAAATAGCCCCCCGAAGCAGTTTTCCCATCTTAACGGGCGTGCATCTTAGAAACTAGAGGGGTTTAGGTCTTAAGACAGACAGGGTTGTGGACTGCAACGAATGATCTTCAAGACGACTATTTCAGTTAAAAATCCCATACAAATGTGGAACAGTCCCTTAACGCAATTCGCCCCTTTCAAAAAGAAAACAGTTTATCTACTCACATTTGCCGAAAAGTTAGCTACACAATACTTGCTTTGAGCAGATTAGGTCCAATGATGCGTTGTTGGTCATGATGTGTGCAGGTGTGTCACACTAAGGAGCATGATATTGGGGAGTGGCGCGACCACGCCACGTGTTCCCCGTGTTTCCGTTCATTTTATGTGCACTGTGGTCGGTTCGTCGGGAACAACGTGACAGAACAAAAGCTTTTTGGAAATGGCTTCGCCGTCGTGAGCGAGCCTTAGTAGAGCTTTTGCGCCGACAGATTTGAACCTCCAATATGTCAGGAGGCACTGATTTAACAACGCTGCCGGTGCCCTGGGTGACGTCGGCTGACCATCATAAAGCTCTGCATGAGCATACCAGTTGACTATGGTCAATACAGACCACATTTTCTTGATAACTTCTTTTTACCGGTGCCTCTTGGCGCATTAGAAGTAGATAAATGTGCCAGCATAATAACAATGAACTCTTAGTGCCCCCCCCCCCAAACAGGAGCCTGGGGCATTTCTTGCGTCTCTATCAGTAACATGGTTTTATGGCAAAGTATTTTCATTCCTCCCGCGTGTTTGGGACATGTTTTTCAATAATTATGACTAAGGAGATTAGCATGAATGATTTGATGTAGTCAACATTCATAATGTGCGAAGGCGCACACCATGGCGCATCAATGCAAAAAAAACGTGGTGGATGGTGTGGGGAGGGGGGAGATTGTGACCAGACCAGCACTGCGTCCCTGTTTTTTGTCGCGTGCCCCATTTCTCTTTTCCTTGCCAGAAATCATTCTGTGTAATATTGTGTAAATGGGGCGATTGGATTGGGCCATTTACTCATTTATGCTCTCAGATTGATTGATTGATTCACTCATGTGCCTTGCCTAAGGTCATTTCAGTCAACCAGACAACTCATACTACACTTGTGCGGTGCACACATGATTATGTCTCGGATGCTGATGTGACGTCTTTAACCATGTGCATTGCTGTCAATCGTCGAGGTGTTTCCCAATATCAGCAGCGCTCGGCGTTTAGCCGTTTGTCTAGACAAAACAGCAGACTTCTTTTTTATTTCATTCATGACCCCATGACATCAATACGTTTTTACGTAAGTTGTTAAGTGCATTTGCGAGGAGCATTATTCACGTAGATGAGACGGTAGTAATAGCCTTGTTCCTCGAAGAAAAACCAGGAGAACGGAATATAGATGCGTTGATATTTCGGCAGCATGCCTATATCGAAACAAAGAGAAGAAGTGAGCATGAAAAATTCAGTGCATCTACATTTTCATTCTCCTGGTTTCTCTCCAAGGAATAACGCTTTTAGTACTATTTTATCGATACCTTTTATCAACGCTTTTAAATACGCAGAGAATTTATTTAAAACCAGCAAACAGTAACAAGGTCACTTGTCCTATGACGCAAACAGAAGTTTACGTACACACAGCATTACAACGCAGAACGGATTTATCACTAGTATGACTTTAGAAATGCAGCCTAGTCTTAAGCAATGCGGCATTTTTTAACATAATTCCAAATAGACATCTATTAATTCATCTGCCATGTTCATATGAACACCAAATATTCTTAAGACAGATCAAATGCACCAAACCCTGTTCTGCTTTGACACCTGTACTGCCCTGCCTCGAATCGGACACCAAACCGCATCCGATTTACTTTTTCGTAGAGAAATCAAACGACATGAGACAAATATGTGTAGATCAGTGACCTGTATTCTTAATATTCACTATGTCGAGACATACAAACCCGTGCAGCGGTGCTGAGATGTTCCTAGGAGAGGAAAATCAAGGCGCATTTTCAAACGTGTAGACATTTATAAAAGCTCAAGGAATATTATGAAACGTTCAATCACGCTTTTGGATTTATTTTGATCTCAAAAACAAAACTAAGCATTCTGAAATGTTGAATCACTGATGGTAGCGCCAAACTGGTGTAAGTCACGTTTTTTTACGCTAGCTCACGAGTAACACATCTTCTCACGAACTGCAAAGGCACGGTCAGGACCCGCAAAGGTCGGTTACCGGCCCCCGCCCGCAGCAATGACCACACCGCCGCACCATACACACCAAGTTCACATTCAACATCAGGTGAGTTGAGATCTTCGCTCACAGGGCCTTACGGCAATAGTCATTCATCTCACAAGCGTCGCAACAAATAGACAAATGTCTGATCTCTGGGGTGATCTGAAGTGGGCGAAGCGAGGTGGTCTTTCTCTTACAGAACTGTTTCTTCACCACGTCACGCAAGATTCACCATGTTTATAGCATGCTGTTGTCCCGGATCCAGTCAAAATATTCTGCAACCAAAGACAAATGTTAGGAGCTTGGTGGTGGAATTTCGCAACAAAATTTTAACTGTTAGCCACCATGTATCTCTTTCTGCGTAATTTTCTGCGCAACGTCAGTGACGATACCTTCCTCAAAGCTGCGTGATTTATAAATAGCCCTCTATCTAAAAAGATGATGTGCAAGGAAAAAAAAGCAGCGAATGCAATCTCCAACAACTCGTGATGGAGCATAATTATTTTGTGTGTACTATGTAGGGTAAATGACAAAGTTCCCAGTCTGTAGCCCGAACAGGCGCTACAACATGGACAGTGTATCACATGCCAGGTGAAAACAAACGCAAGCGCACGTACTCAAGACTCAGCATGGAAGATGTGACAGTAGCGCAAGAAAGTTCGCAGCCCTTGGGCAGGCTGGGTGACGAGCCTATGTAGGTTTGAAGAGCCGCACAAGTACTTGTAAATCAGCTTCGTAAAACTGCGACAATCACTCTGAATAGGCGCTACCACAAGTTGCTAGCCCCGCCATTTGAACACCAGGGCGAACGCGAGGTCATGCAGAGCGCTGCTCTTCGATACAGACCTGACACGCGCGTGTAGATTCCAGGATAGCCGGCCAGCGCGCAGCCCTTGCCGGAGCTGACGACACCGACGAGCGTGTGGATTTCGTCGGCATCGGATCTGATCATCATCGGACCGCCGCTGTCGCCCTGCGGATCCAGCGGGCTCACATTCACGGCTCGACTCTGATCATCATCGGACCGCCACTGTCGCCCTGCGGATCCAGCGGGCTCACCCTCATGGCTCGACTCTGATCATCATCGGACCGCCACTGCCGCCCTGCGGATCCAGCGGGCTCACACTCACGACTCGACTCTGATCATCATCGGATCGCCACTGTCGCCGTGCGGATCCAGTGGGCTCACACTCACGGCTCGATTCTGATCATCATCGGACCGCCACTGTCGCCCTGCGGATCCAGCAGGCTCACATTCACGGCTCGACTCTGATCATCATCGGGCCGCCACTGTCGCCCTGCGGATCCATCGGGCTCACACTCATGGCTCGACTCTGATCATCATCGGACCGCCCCTGTCGCCTTGCGGATCCAGCGGGCTCACACTCACGGGCCAACTCGACGATGAGCGGCGAGTGTGAGGCCAGCGAAGCAGCGCCCTCACCGGATGCTGATTTATTTAGGCGCCTAATTTACTCACAGCTCTACAAAACGGACAACTTTTCTCCTGCTAGTCGATACTGGCGATTATAATGTATGGGCTTAAAGTGAGCGCGAAACAAGCGATAGGCTGGGAAATAAGAAGGCAACAAAGGCGTGGGAACAGGGCTACGGGGCGTGAGAGAGCGATTGGGTCCTTGCTTCACTCATGGTACAGGCGGAACGTCAAGTCTGTGGTAATTCGTGACACAAGTTGCGGAAGATTGTGTTCCTCTTAGTCTATGGGACGTTCTCACTTCATGTAATGCTCTTTAACACCTCATTTGCAAAGATGTAGCCAAATTGAGATGGCAACCATGGAGCCCGGTCAGCTACGACAATACAGATAGACTACGCATATCTGTAAACTCAACCTGAACGCGTCTGCGCATACCACGTGACATCTATACAGCCAGAGAACGCCCGGGCTGCCCGACCGACGTAATCCGGTGGACTCTGTGCTCCTTCCCCCCCCCCCCCCCACACACACACACTACGGCGTAGCGGTGACCGACCTGGCATGTGTCCTTGCCGCCTTTCTCCAGGCCGGCGCAGATCATGTTGTCGGTGATGTTGTAGGGCTCGCCGACGTAGTCCCGGTTGCACTGCTCGTTGGTGAGCACGGGCAGCTCCACCTGGAGCGCGATGTCTGGATAGTCGAGCGTGTCCTGGCGCAGCAGGCCCCAGCCGGCGATGAGTGCGGTGCGATCGACCAGGCAGGCCGCGCCGCTGCCGCCGCCGCAAGCCCGCTCCGGCAGACAGACGGGCCGCACCCGGCCGTCGGCGCGCCAGATCAGATCGCGCAGCGACTCCTTCAGCCTGCGGCAGCCAAACAGACCGTACAGTTACAGCCACCGGCCGGTTGCAGCGTGTCGCTAAAGCGATGTCATCGAAGCGACAGGTGTCTTTGTGCTGTGATCTACCGACTCCACAGCATGTAGCATGTCTCCGTTTCCGGGTGCCGGACAATTGTGACGTTCCACCGGCGTTAAAATGCACACGTTATTGTGAATTTACGTTATGGTTGTGTTTTTTTATTTTTAGAATCAGCATAAGAATACGTTGAACTTGATCTATCACTCCTTACCCATGCATCGCGTAACCTTATCATTCATTTTTCATCATTCCTCGTGACAGCTACGTGGGCGACGATAAAGCGTTATTGTGCTGACTAGTTAAATGGGAACTTGCATTCAAAATCGATAACAAAATCAGCTTCGTGATCTACCAAACATTCTCACATTATTAGACAGGGCGGAGTGAACGCCATCCCGCCGGTGATAGGCGTAGCGACTCACTCTAGCAGTCCAATATCGCTGTCCGATTTGATCTTGTTGTAGTCGGGATGATTGATGATCCGTTTGACATAAAATCGGATCTGATCCGGGTCTTTGTAACGCTGGAATTTCCTGACCAGCACACTGATGCTTCTCGCCTCGCGGCTGGCGAAAGAGAAGAGGGTAACGTGATGAGAGTGAGCAGACGTGACGCGTTGCTATCTCGCGGCTGGCGAAAGAGAAGAGGGTAACGTGATGAGAGTGAGCAGAGGTGACGCGTTGCTATCTCGCGGCTGGCGAAAGAGAAGAGGGCAACGTGATGAGAGTGAGCAGAGGTGACGCGTAGCTGCTTCAGAGCTGGAGAAAGGGAAGGAGGTAACGTGATGAGAGTGAGCAGAGGTGACGCTTCTCGCCTCGTGGCTGGCGAAAGAGAAGGGGGTAACGTGATGAGAGTGAGCAGACGTGACGCGTTGCTGCCTCGCGGCTAGCGAAAGGGAAGGGAATAACGTGATGAGAGTGAGCAGAGGTGACGCGTAGCTGCTTCACGGCTGGCGAAGGGGAAGGTGGTAACGTGATGAGAGTGAGCAGAGGTAACGCGTAGTTGCCTCACGGCTGGCGAAAGAGAAGAAGGTAACATGGTGAGAGTGAGCAGAGATGACGCGTAGCTGCCTCGCGGCTGGAGAAACTGGAGGGGGTAACGTAGCAAGCGTGAGCGTATGCACCGGGATGGGTCGAATGATGAGCTGGCTTGTGTTTACACTTGTGAGCAAAAGCCGACCATCGGCTGGCTAACAATGCTTGAGGCCAGTGCGTGCCTGACAAGGTACAGCGTCCTTGTCCGGGATATCGTTTCTTATTCAGTAAGTTGGTCCAACACCCAACTTTGAGACGAAAGTGAGCAGAATCCAGAAATAATTCCATTTTTTGTTGCATTTTCAGGCAACATTAAGCCATCTTTTGCTGTTGAACTAGGAAAGATGCCAATTTCAGATTTTTCACACTTTAGGTTAAGTTTTCCCCTAACTTCCGTTGCGAATTACACCCTTGGTCACCGTGTGGTGCACGGGTACCAAGCTGGGATCCCGCACGGAGCCCAAGCAGCGGAGATCAAGCTGGCGAGCTGGTTGCAAAAAGCATGGAGACCACAGGAAATTTGTCCTCCTGGCCTGACAATTGGCATTAACTCTTTTGCAATACCACGTAATAAATGGGCAGATGAAACTGTTTCTTTCCAAGTAGCTCGCAGGGTTCTTAATCATCGTCAAAGTTTTTGAGTTTTCCTGGCTCATGTAACCCATAACTCGTTAAGGGCGGATACAGGTTTTCGTCAAGGGGAAGGGGGCACGCAAGATTGTGCCTCCCTCTCCCCCCCCCCTGAGTTTAGTGCCCCGCCAAAACCACTTCGCACTCCGACAATGAAAATTCAAGATTTTTATGATATCATTTTTCATATGGGAACCCATCTTACTATGCTCAGCTCTAGAAAACTGGGCATGTTACGCATGTGCATGCATATGGTTTGTTTATTTCCTCCAGATCGTCATGAATCCTGTCATTTAGTGGTCAAGTTTTTATTTTTTTTGGGGGAAGAGCATTATAAAATAACTTAAAGTTGGCTGCTAAATGCCATTAAAATCGAGAACGAGGCTGCCTCCTAGCTTAATTACAGCTAGCCGGCTGTTGGATGTGATCAGCTGATGGCTAATGCTTAGTGCAGAGTTTGTCTTTTGTTTGCTGTATAGTATATCTGCTACCTACCTGCTGCTAAATGCTGATAAATGCCATCAAAATAAATATGAGCCTGGTTCCTAGCTTATTTACAGATAGCCGATTGGTTCATGTGATCAGCTGTTGGCAGGTGACTGATGCAGAGTTTTTTTCAATTTGTTATGAAGGAGTACCAAATATGTTAGCATTCAAAATGCATTCAGAACGTGACGAGCAAGTGTAGGCTAGTGTCACACATTCAACAGCCAAGGGAACTGACATTTAGAACGTCGGCGACACGCAAAATTACCTTCGACAATTGCGCGTAAAAAATTAATCGGCTAAATATTGCAGAAAAACTGGCTGAATAAGCTATTGGCGCATATTCCACTGCCGCGCTAAGGCTAAGGCACCAAGGCCAATAGGAACGGAATATCAGCGATCATAGGTGACGCGGGAGGCCAACAAAGAGGGTGCCGTCAACGAGTATAGGGTCCTCAGAGCAAGCGAGAAGAACCCAAGACAAAGGTGATAGCCCCTGAACGATCGGTAGTGCCCCGGCAGGCTGCCATAGGGTCCAGTCCAGAACACGGGGCCCTCTGTGCAAAGGGAACTTACACAAGACCAATGTGCGTCAATAAATTACCCTTTGCAGTCAAGAGTGTTCGGGCAGGTTAAAAGAAGAGGCCCCGATAGAAGTGAAGGGTCCTCAGCAAATGAGATCAAGTGGAAAGAACGCTAAATCAATTTAGAGGGCCCTGAGCATCGAGCGGCTTGGTGCCTTACCTTGTATGGGCCTCAGAAACAGCGCAAGGCCCTCCGAGCAAATAGCGAGAACCCGAGACTAAAATTAAAGGTCTCAGAGAGTGTCCCGGCATATGAGGCCTCGGCAAAGGCGTAAGGAGTCTTTCAGGCAAATGGGAAGAACCCGTGGAGGTCCCTGATCGATCAAGAGTGCCCTGGCATGTTAGCAGATAGTGTCCCAATGGCAGCGTAGAGCGCTCCGAGAAAATGCAATGTGATTACGAGCAACGCGGAAGGCTCCTTAGCAATCGGATTGACTCGGCGAGCAGGCATATAGGGCCCCGGCAGCAGCGTGACGTCTCTGGAGAGCGTAATCAGCCTCCAAATAGTTCCCAATCACCGACCTCTTAATCAGCGAATAATTAACTTTGTCTGCCCACGTGCTCTTCACTTTCACTTGCGGCTGTTCTTGGTCGCCCGGAGGGCCAAAAGACGTCCAATTCTGTGGTGTTTGTGTTCGAAAACTGCATCCATTCGGCCGGTCATGGGCCGCTCGAGGCGTGTTGGCCCCCTCGGGGTGCAAGGGGGGGCATGGTTCCGTGCCTCCCACCCCCACCCTCTGGATCCAGCACTGTCCGAGCAGCTTAATCGACGGGTCCCCAACAAGAACATAGGGCCATCCATTCGAATAAGAAGCGCCCAAGACACAATATGGATGACTCAGGGATGATCGAGTGTGCCCGACTAGGTTAACAGATGGGACTCCCCGACAAGAGCGCAGGGCCCTCCATTCAAATAGCGAATCCCCACGAAACAACGTGGAGGGCCCCTGAACGATCCAGTGCGCCCGAGCAGATTAACGGACGGGAACTCCGACAAGAGTGTGTGGCCTCATTCACATAGAAAGTACCCAAGACTCAATGCGGTCCCGACAAAAGCTTTGGGCGCCACATTCAAATACCAGGACCCTATGTGCAAGGCCCCCGAACAATCCACTGTGCCCGGGGAGGTTAACAGATGGGGCGCCGACAGGGTCGTAAGGCCCTACATTCAAATGAAAAGTGCCCAAAACCCAGTGTGGAGGGCCCCCGAACGATCGAGTGGGTCGGAGGAGGTTAACAGGCAAGAGCGTAGGGTCCTCCATAGTAATAGGAAGCACCGAAGACCCAATGTAGAAAGCCCCCGATCCCCCGAGTGTGCCGAACAGCTTATCAGAGAGAGCCCCCCCCCCCCCCCGACAATAGCGTAGGGCCCTGCAATGAAATAAAAAGTACTCAAAACCCAGTTTGGAGGGCCCAAACAATCTGGTGTATCCAAGCAGGCTGCCAGATGACCCCCGACAGGAGTGCAGGGTCGTATATTCATATAACCCAACCCAATGTGCAGGGTACCCGAGCAACTCAGCTTGCCCGAACAGATGGGGCCCTCGACAAGTTCGTTGGGCCTTCCATTCAAATAGGAAATGTTCAGGATCCAATTTGGAGAGCTCCGAACAACTGAGTGTGCCCAACCAGGTTAACAGATGGTCCCCGGCAAGGGCGTAGGGCCCGAAGCAAGTGACAGAGAATTGGAAGGGCGCTTAGACCAATGCAGACGGCCATGCGCATACCGTAAGTGCGTTGGTAGGTTAACTGAGGTCAGCGTCAACGGCTCTTGAACAACCGAGAATACCCCGGCTGGATGCCACATAGGGTCTCGTTTATGGCCCACAGAGCCTTTCTGGTGTATGGAAAGAATCTGTGGAAGGGCCCTTAATTGACAAGAGTGCCCCGGTACGCTAGCAAAAAGGGCCCAGCAACAGTGCAGGGCCCTCCGGAACAAATGCAAAGAAGTCAAGGGTAACGTAGAAGGCTCCTTAATAATCAGCTTGACCCGGCAATTGGATCCCGGAAACAGCGTCGAGCCTCTGGACAGCGCAATGAGCCTTAAAGCCTCCCAACCGCCACCCCCTCAATCAGTGAAGAATAATTTTTGTCCGTCTGTGGACACTTCACTTTCGCTTGCGACTGTTCTTGGTCGCCTAGAAGCCCAATTGTTCGATTTTGTTATGTTTCGTGTTCGACAACTGCCTCCCGTCGGCCGGCTATGGGCCCCTTCGGAGCCCATGGGCTCCTTCAAGGCCCAAGGGAGGCTGGCCTTGTGTCCCCTCTGGATCCACCCCTGTAACTCATCTGGATGGAACGAGCAACAAATTTGCTTATGTTCATCAGCGAAGTGGTAACGTTCTATCTGCTTGAAGACGCGACTATCTGATTTCATCAGAGTGAAGGTCACGTTTCCAAGCGCAGCGCCACATCAGCAACTCACGTTCTAACGGACTGCTACAAATGAAAAACAAATAGCCAAATCAACGCAAGGATTACCTGAAGCTAAGCATGCCTTCGCAATGGCGGATTTCTGATCTCAACAATCCAGCGCAGGCTGGCGGCCAATGAGGTTACTTTATATACCTTGGGGGACGTGAGACACCACCAAATTTAAACTTGAGCATGTGGCTGCGGTGAGGCGACCACGACATTAAAAAAGGGGAAATTTACTGTTCTGGGCTCCAAATCATTGTTGTGAAGCATTAGACACGCGGGCAATAGCCATCGAGATCATGCGCGCTGAACTGCACCACATGTTCTGCATGCTTTGCTTCACTCGTGCATCTTAGGGGAAATCGAATGGTCACCTTCTGACGCAGTGCGCAGCTGTCAGGATGAAGCGTTCGTTGATGATGCTGCCGCCGCAGAACGGGCCTCTGCCGATTAAACTGGTCACACCCACCTGGAAAATCAGACACCAGGGGCTAGACGCACCAGATGAACGCTAATCAGTGCTAACGAAATTCCGGTCACTCGCGGTGTGCGCAATCAAGCACGTTAACGAAACATTTAACTCGTCCCACCGCAATGTCCAAACACATCATCCAGTCCTGAAGTTGGGAATGCAGCTCCCGTACACTCACCATCCATGGAAACGCCTTCTCCACCTGGGCTTCCACCTACAATCCGAATGTTCTTTTGGATCTTGCCGCAGATGGGGTCGTTGATGTTCACCACTCTGGAGCCAATATCCTCCGGCCTAGTCCCGGTGGTCACTGGCTTGGATATCGAGCTAATCGGTCTGCTCGCGGGTTTGCCCACTTCAGGCTCAGGCTTGGCTGACCCTGGCTGGGTCACTGGTGTCGGCCTTCCCGACCCTGGTTGGTTCACGGGCTTGGGCTTGTCCGCATCCGGCTGGGTCACAGGTTTAGGTTTAGCAGGCGCCGGCTGCGTTACGGGTTTGGGCTTGGTCGGCTCCGGCGTCGTGACGGGCTTGGGTTGCGGCGGTGCGGGAGACACTTGACCTGGTGGCGGACGGCCCGCCCCAGCTACGGCCTGCACTGAACAACGCAGACGGCCGCTCGACCTGGAGCGGAGCTCGATCATGATCCGGCGCTGATAGACATCTGGCGGCGAGTCGGCGGAGCTGTAGTACGTCCGCCTGCCACTATCCGACTTACGTAGCACCACTCGGTCGCCGTCACCCAGTTCATAGACGTCACAGGTCATTTGCAGAGATGCGCCGGCGTCGACCGCCTGCCGCACGCAAAGACAAGTCAGATATCTGTCACAATCGGTGTATTTCAGTTCTCCATTTCGGTTGCTTATTTGAATACCACGAGTGCCTGCCCCGCGATAAAGTGGAGGAAGCGTGCTGCCGGGGCTGTTGCAGTTATTGGGCGCAAATAACCAATGTAAATGGCGTGCCCTTGAAACTCCATGACTGTTACAGCTGGTGGAATACGCCTGGAGCTTGTTTTACCCCCAGGAGAGCTCAGCAGGGTGTAGCTAAGAAGGGAGGCGGGGGTCTCCCCCATTAAGATCTGTTTTGTATTTTAACCGGCTCCATACAGAACGTAATACAAACTAGGTGTCATGCGTATTCACTGAGCTCCGCCCCCGCCATGCTTCGGAAAATTCAGGATGCGGTCCTGGAGCTTAGTGTTCTCTTCGACAAATTAAGGATCAATCATATATCTACAAAGGATAAGATCCGATTCACGCAGGCAGTACTCCTACCGTCAAGCCGGTAGCTAATTACCCGCCTAATTATCGGTCAGCCTGGTCCTGCAAGCGCAACACTGGGTGTAGGTAAATACAGTGAGGAGATCAAGGCCAGATATGGCTGGCACAGGTAATTGTCAGGCGATTTAACTAGAGCATTTCAGAGTGTTAGGCCAGCCTTGCATAAAATTGTACTGCTGGTGCACCCATGCTGCAACCTACCGTGAATATCCAAGTCTTCCACTGGACCGGAGGATATTGGTCCGGGAAGTTGAGAGACGTGAAGGTGACCGTGACCCCCGTGGACAACTCGAACTTTCCATAATCGCCCACTGGAATATGCCGAAAGAATACGGTGTCAGCGTGTCGTCAGCATGCCAAGCAGCAATAAGGCACACAGTTTGCATGACCCTTGCCGGACGATAGCGTATGGGCATGGCCGGCCCACGCCACTTGGGCAGCACGTAAAACAGAATAACGGAAAAAGCTTGGCACCCAACGAATACGAGAAGCACCGCGAAGTGTCGCAACGCAACAACAACTGTCAGTTTAAAGGCGACAAAGCACGGACTGTATTCATGTTCATGGTAGAACACCGCTGACATTTCAGAAAAAACTCTGCGAAGCAGAGGTCAGATAGCTGAAAAAACAACAGCCCAGTCGCACCCACACCCGCGTGTCTTGAATCCCGGTCGCTCCCACACCCGCGTGTGTTGGATCCCAGTCGCTCCCACACCCACGTGTCTTGAATCCCAGTCGCTCCCACACCCACGTGTCTTGAGTCCCAGTCGCTCCCGCACCCACGTGTCTTGATTCCCAGTCGCTCCCACACCCACGTATCTTGAATCCCAGTCGCTCCCACACCCACGTGCCTTGGGTCCCAGTCGCTCCCACACCCACCTGTCTTGGATCCCAGTCGCTCCCACACCCACGTGTCTTCAATCCCAGTCGCTCTCACACCCACGTGTGTTGGATCCCAGGCACACCCACACCCACAAGTGTCTCTGATCGACAATGCTGATCTGTACCGATCGGCTGTCCGGTGACGGCGCCGGTCCTAACCCGCCGGGGCACCGCTCACCGAGCCGTGTACCGACGTAAGCTCACCGCGTCCGCCGGTCACTCACCCTGGGCGTCACTGTCGAAACGCTGCGCGGGCAGCCGCTGCAGCTGGTACGGCGTGACCCAGTGCCGCGCGGAGCTGGCCGCCCGCCCCAGCTGCTTGCCGAGCAGCGGCAACTCCGTCAGCAGCAGCTCCCCGGGCACGTCCAGACTGCGCTCCGACAGCAGTGATGAGCGGGGCAGCAGTGGCGTCAGTTCGTCCCACCGCTCGACGCTGAGCTCGTTCCACTGCTTCAGGCTCACCTTCTGGCCCAGCGTCTGTGGACGAGCGTCAAACGTCAGGCGGCCGCAATTGGGGACGCGCGCTCCATGACAGTGGTGCAACGGAACCAGGCTGGCGGAGAGTGCGCCATCGTCGGTTGGACGGATTACAGCTCATGAGGCGGGCAGGTGAAATGCCTTTGAAACCCTTACACTGACTGGATTAAGCATCGACTTATTATTGAGGAGATTCCATTGTGAATATATATATATATATATATATATATATATATACATATATATATATATATATATCCATACATGGAATTGCATCGATATATGTGTATGTATACCAATGCATGAAATCATAGATTGATATATATATATATATATATATATATATATATATATATATATATATATCATTACCACCATATCATATCATTGCCACCGGTACTTAGCATAAAACAAACTGTATGATTCAAGTTATGTCTAAAATTTCGGAAGGCTTTCCGAATTCTTGTTTCTTGTTTCAGAATGCTGAGGACACCAAGAACCACCGCGCAGACGCACACATATACGTGCACAGAAGCACCCTGACACAGAACTCCAAAACTCGTAAGGACTAGCGGTTGTCTGATGACGCCTTATGAGATCAGTTACTAAGCTGAACATACTCATCTGGTTTGGACTTCGCATGCATGAAATAGGCCCGGAAATGGCATGCTCCTTTGTCAACATCATGCTTTGAATCACACATCACCTCACATGAACTTGCAATTCGGCGTGGGTCAGTGGCCTGCTATGACCTTTCGAGACAAAGTGTGATGCGCATAACTTAAATGTGAGGTGACAAACAATTCAGATAAAACAGGGGTACATCCTTTTAAACTACACCACTGGAGCGCACGCTACCAAATACCGCAGAAAAAGTCAGCTTAGTTAGGCCACCGGCGAATGATGACCTTTTTGGGTAAAAAAGATTCAAGTGAGCGTACTACATCGTAAAGCCAGAACGTAATAAGCAAACACATTATGTGATGAATATGATAGCTAAAAATCGTGCTGAGTGGTCGGAGGCCTGTGATGGATTCGATCAGGGATCTGCGCTGACCGTGTTGGGTAAAAGTGGTATTTACTGCGGAGTGAGGCCTGGAACGGCAGAAATGAGCACAATGACGAACAGCACTATTAAAACAATGGTACGTAAGACTGAAACCTAAAGGTCGTCACATGTCAGTGAGCCGTCAGTGACCCAACGCCTTCAAATTATCCCTTCCAGGGCAAAGAATAATGCAAAATATAACAAGATGTAAAATAAAGAAATAACAGTTGGATAGAAAAAATGATCAGAATGCAAGATGAGCCTGCTAGAACGGAAGAACCTATTTTTGCAATAGATTATATTTTGTTCAGCATGTCTTGTTTTAAAGACTTCTAAGGTCTAAACCTGACGGGCCTTGACTCAATTAACATCTCCGCAGTCGGTGAGGCATATAGTACCACAAATGCCGCAGGCCAACACAGTCCGTTTTGCAGCTATATGTCAAAAAGGATCATAGGGGGGGGGGGGGGGGCGGTTGGATATGCATCCCTCCGTTCCAGCAACGTGAGTGCTTGAGACCTAAACTACAATGTGTGTACAAGCGTCTGAGTTGTCAGGAAATACGCCACCTTTAATGACATTTCAGTCTAGATCGCCAGGTTCTACAACGCTCACAAATATATCTTTACGCAATGCCCATCAGAAATGCAAAGCCGTGCTCTATTTGCTGGATCTAGGGGTCGAAGGCCTATGATTACCTCGTTGCGGTTTATCTTTAGTATGATTCCATTCTCTGACAAAGTTAAATCACTGAATGCATCATCCCGGCTGGATTTATAGAATGAAAGACGCAAGATAGAAGAATTCCACTGAGTGCAATACAATGCGACGTAACGAACAGGCGACACTTTCCAGAAATGATCGGGAAACTCTAATAGTAATTTTGAATTTTTAGACGGCTCTTTCCATGGTCGTCACTTGTCGAACGCCGTTGATTCATAAATCATTGGAGTCTCAGGGCACCCGAGTCATGCAAAGTGACGCACATCGACGCCAGTCCTCTTCCATCGAAACCTTGCCTTTTCTTGCGCTGTCTGATAAAAACGAAGCTGGGAGAATAACTATTGCGGTACTACATTTAGTCATATTTTGCTCATCGAGTGCGGCCAAGGGGGAGCCCACTCTAAAAGCAAAAACACCACTGCACTTTTTACTTCATCATCTTGAACTTCATGCCAAAAGCCCGCCAGCGCGCTTGAATAGAGATGAGGTTACCAGTACCCATGCCACCGCTTTCCACCATTATCGGCCAGAGCTGCATAGTAAATCGGACTTCATGGCACTTAAGTTGTCAACACACGTCTGATGCCTGCAGCATGGGCAAGTCCGCTTTCCCTGAGGCTTGTGAGCGTCTTGCTCTAACGGCATATGTTCAGTGACCCCAGATAACCTGTAACAGGCGTTAGGACAACTTAGGCGTTACAGTGACCTGTAACGCCTAAGTTGTCAAGAATGGCATATAAACGTGATTCAGCGCGTAAGTGAGACTAGCATGCGTACAAAGTACGACATGTCATGGCCTTTTTGAAACGGACCAAGTAAAAGCAATGTTTCTCATCTGTGGTTTCTCCATTGATTAACGCCGGATGTCCAATGGGAGCCAAATAATGCTTACAGCTGAAATTTAGGCCGTGTTATATCCTCGCAGACCATAATAGTTTTAGTTCTTTTCCTCTCTTATGGGGCGAATATTGAAAATACTAGGGGATGAGCATGGCTAGTGCGACGAAATCTAAGCCGAGCTTTTGCTTACAAGTCTGCTGACTTGCAAATCTTACACGTATGATGAAGTATGTTCGCACTGAAGCTACTTCGTGAGCAGTTTAAGCAGAGACGTGTGCGTAAATAGCCGTGTCGCATGAGGTTGCCTGAACGGCGCGGCCTGCACCAGAGGTAGCCTTTCTGAAAGTTATTGTCCAAAGTCCCGTCCAAAGCCCAAGGATGACGTAACGATAAGGAAAGCGTCGAAAAACGTTTTAAAAATCAGGCTGCGTAACAATTTCTAATTTTACAAAAAGCAATTTTTGGTTATAAATGCGGCGTGCGTAAAACAAGGACCTAAAACCGGCGCGAACTGCAAATGTTGGAAAAATCGGCGCTCGTGTCTGTGATCTCAATCTATATGTTGCATAGCGTAAGCAATGTGTAGCAGTGTATGCGATGATGGTTTATATTCCGTCTTCCAAAAATAACACCTCCTGGCATACTCTATCAACAAGCGTTTATGTCTCAGAATCAACTTATTTTGAGAACGGGCAGCATTAAACAAGTTGAGCTGTAAACAAATTAGTGACGCGACAGAATGATATCGGCCGCCTTTTAATTCCAAAGGGATTTGCCCGTGTCCGTGCAACTTCCAAATGAGATACTGGCAATTTGTGGTCTTAAAAAAATTAAATGCAATCAGCGCCTCTAGTCTGCGCTTTGCACGTGAACGAGCACGCCATCAGAGCCACCGCAGCGAGAGTACCGACTGACGTCATCCAGTGCCCAGGGGCCTCCACTGAATGGGTGCGTGAGTCACGTGGCATGACCCAGGTGACCCAAGCTGACTGTAAGTGGGTCACCTGTCATGGTCCGGAGGGTCAGGCTAGTTCTGTGAGCATGCATCGATGTCCCTTCTCAAATAACCGCGACTTGTGCGTGGGTGAGTGCACGCAACGTGTTACTGAGCAGTCACGTGACACCGGCGAGCGTCTCTCGGCGGCGACCGGCAGTGGCTGGTCGTCTGCGAGCGTGTCTGCAGCTCCGGGAGAGAGCCGGCCGGCGAAAGCAGCGACGCGTCCGGTGACGGACGCCCGTGCCGTCTGTCAGCGCGCCGGTGCACCCGTCCCGCCGGCGCGATCGCGATCAGGCGGTCAGCGCGCCGACGCCGCTGTGGCGCGCGGCTCAACGGTGACGGACGCCCGTGCCGTCTGTCAGCGTGCCGGTGCACCCGTCCCGCCGGCGCGACCGCGATCAGGCGGTCAGCGCGCCGGCGCCGCTGCGGCGCGCGGGCCACCGCGACCCCCCGAAGGGTGCCGCCGACCGCGGCCGACGTCCGGAGCTGGTTCGGAGGGAATCCAGCCACAGCAGGCGCTCTTCGCCGGGTCGTGCAGAGGTCACCGCCACTGAGCCGTCTGGCTGGCATTCCGTGCCGTCACTGCAGGTGCGGAGCGGCGGAGACGAGCCAGCCAAGTCGGTCCGCCGGGCGCCGTGCTCCGAGCTTATCACGCCGCTGGTTAGGCGGATACGTGGCTAATGCAGGCACAGACTGCACCGGTATGACCCCTAGATGTACGACAACTTCTGCGGAAGGGTTTTCCGTGTACTTGGTGCAACATTGCACTCCATGTTTTTCAAACAGTGGTGCTTGTGCTCACTTGTAGCTATTGGTATACTCGTAAGTACAATAGGCTGCTTAGGATAACATCATTCTCTGTTCAGTGAATATGCTCCTCAATACGTCATTATTCTATTACATGATGCTATCTTGCTCAACATTGCTTGAGAGCTAATTGAAGGCCGTCACATCTGAAAATCGCGCTCACGGACGTCCGATGTGAACCGCTCAACAATCATACTTTGTTTGGCCTTGATCGCTGTATGGCCAACGGAATAGCAGAATTTTAATGACGTTATTATGGCGTCATGGATGCTTGGGTGACATCGAAATCGTCTCCTCGAAAAAGGATGCGCATCTTGCGGGCGTGTAGCTCGGAGTCTAAACAGTTTTAAGTCTTAAAAAGGGCAGGGATGTGAGCATCACCAAATGATCGCTGATTCATTTGATTGAAGATAGCTATGGAAGATAGAGAGATAGATATATGAAGACATCAGAAGATGACTACTTGATTCAAGATGGCTATTTCAGCCCAAAACCCCATACAAATGCGGAACACTCCCTTTAAAGGGAATGTTCCATATTTGAAGACATTAAGGCATGCATTAGGTGTAGTGAATAAGCGCACTTATAACTGTTGGTACACTATTAACTAGAATAGACAGCTCTGCACAACATAGTTTCTCTTTGGAGTAAATATGCTACTCAATACGCCATCGTGCCTTGCACAACATTGATAGCCAATTGACAGCCGTTATATCTGGGAATGGTGCTTCATCAACGCCAGATATAAACGGCTTCACAAGGTATCTTTCTTGACCTTAATTGCCGCATGGCTAATAACAGAGTGGCTAGATTTGAATGACGGTAAGATGGCATCATGGGTGCCTGGGTGACATTGAAATAGCCTGCACGAAATGTTCTGCACACCTTCTCAGGCGTGTAACTCAGAAACTAGAGGAGCTTAGGTCCTAAGATGAACAGGACTATGAAATGCATCGAATGGGGGAGCACTCCCTTTAGTGTTCGATTGATTTTGCAACTTAGGTGCTTCTTCGGTGATACCAGGTGTTCTTGGTTCTTTTTTTTTTGAATACTTGAAATCTCGGACCATGTAAATGAACTCAGATTTATATTTTTCGTATTCTTCGTATTATCACATACTATTGCACAAAGCACCTGACGCAAATCGTCAAGATTTGTGATTTTGTAATACATTCAGAGAACAAACTCTCCAAACCATGTGTGCATATTCTCCGTACATTTAGCTCACTTTAGTGTTCAATGAGTTGAATTCGGCTCGCGTGGAAAGGCATGACTTTCGTTAAGACTTCCTGTTGTTGATCACTTGGCACGATATTCGTCAGCGCCTTAATCTAACGAAAGCGCTATCCCTAGCTGCGATCGTTAGGATGACCACCCAGACGGCACAAGTAAATATTCTCAAATCGCACATCAGCGGAATATGGGCGTCAGATAAGCCGACAAATTGCACGTCAGGGAAATGGAACTATAGGAACATAGGAAATACATAGGTAGGAGGTACATAGGAAATGATGCGGTCAATCCAGCACGCCCAGAGGCAAGTGCACTTAACTCATCTTCTTCATCTGCACTGGCCCGACACGCAGACCCCGCTGACGCGGTCGCCAGGTCAGTGACATCCGTCCCTACCTGGGCGGTCAGCAGCAGCGGGAAGAGGAGAGCAGCCGCCGGCGCCGTTGACGCCATGTCAGCTCACGTGCGGCGGTGGTGCGGGCGATGCCGAACGGCGACCCGACCCGACTGAGGCCGCCCGCCCGCCCGCCGTCGCAGACGGGTTCTGCTCGGTCAGTCCCCCCCCCCCCCCCCACACACACACCTGACCAGACGGCTAGACGGGCTTGGCAGAGGCGGCGAGGTGAACTCGGCCAGAGCCGGCCCGGGGCGTCTGCAGCGATCGCGAAGCTCTCCGTACGTACACCCGGCTAGAGGTGACCACGGAGACGAGGTCGCTACCGGGGCCTGCCGCCCCACACGTGGGGTGCTTAGCTCAGGACTCAGGGGAGGGGGGGGGGGGGCACAGCCGATGTACGAGAGGCTCAGAGCGGGGGCCACGTGGCGCGGAGCAGGTGCCTGCTTCTCATTCGTCCGCGGTCGTCCGATGTCAGACCATGGTTGTTGACCTCTCCCGGCGGGGGGGGGGGGGGGAGGGGGAGGGGAGGGTTTCCGCGGGGAGTAAGCGGATGCGGCGAACTCGTTATGCCACAGCCACAGGACACGTGCACCGCGGTAGCTCTCAACGACTCCCTCCTCGGCACATGCCTGATTGGATTGGCTGTGTGCACGACTGCACAAGAGGGTCATAAAAATGTGTCGTGACATTTTACTTCGATTTTAACTGGCATATCATTAAAAGGGCACAAATGATGTTCTTGTCTAGCGAAGTTGATCATTGACAGCGAGCCAAGACCCACAAAGACACGCCATAGACCGCACAAATGCAGCTATCAATGTTAGCGCTCTTCTGAGAGCGAGATCCAGAACAGTTTAGTAGCACTCAGCGCTCTTTGAGGTCATGTCTGCGGGCGTGAAAGACTCACCGTGTCTGGTTCCAACACGCTGTCTGTAGCCGAATGCAAACAATATTTCACGGTATCATTTACCAAGACGCAGCATGAAACATGCTTATATCACTTTCAGGAGATAGGGTGCGGAAGCTGAAATGGGATGAGTGCTGACGCTGTAAGAGCAATTACTCTTGTCCACCAAATCCTAGCATGCATATGCAACTTCAATACGTGTTTCTACTGTGCTGAAATGCTATTGGTCGAAGCAGCGCCTCTATACTTGTGATGTCCTGTCATGTGATGTGATGGTCTTCTTGTGATGTCAGCACAGTTAGCGTAGGACTTTTTACGAGCGCATCAGCCAATGCGGCCTTGGTGCAGTGGTGACGACAGAGCCTTCATCGTCGCAGCTCTGCGGTGACAGTTCGTACAGATGGCGATGACAGTTCCGATGACAGCTCCGATGGCAGCTTCGGATGACAGCTCCGATGACAGGTCAGACGACAATTGCTATCACACGCAGCACCAAAGAATTTTAAGTGAAAATCGCGGCAATCTGTGTCATTTGCATTTCATTGTCACTGTTTTTCCTCCAGTCAAAGTCAAATTCTGAGATAAACCTTGCGCCCTGAAAATGGAGATCACAATTCTTTGTTATGCTATGGTGTTGAACATGCGATGAAGTCCAGTTCATCTCCTCAGGTCAAAAGCCAAACGCGATGAAAAATAGTGAAATTGAATGCAGCCGCCCATACTGTGGAGCGTGCACCGAGCTCTGTTTCACCGGATCATATTTTCTCAAGGCCTCAGGTCAGGAAAAGACGTGAGCAACCGTAAACGCATAGATAATAGCTAAATAGGCACCACTAAATACAACAGACAGACACCTAAAGGCATGGCCAAATACCACCTGCGTAGCATCGCAACCACCCTATCATTGCGGTATCCCGTGAAGCATACCACAATGCTCACCGTGCATTCAATGTTTTTATCCAAGTATAAGGGATTGACCTCGAAATCTGAAGTATCCATAGCACATTGACGCAATAATCAAAATCGTCGGAACTAATATGTGCTGATGTGGATATAACGAACTGGGTGATTTGGGGCGATTTTACTGTACTTTAATGTAACTACCTCAAGGTTTCTTTTGGACCACGGGGCCGGAGCAAATATTCCTGTATCCCCAAAGTCATTGAAAGCAAAGGCTTGGAATCGATGCAATCGTCCGTGCACTGGCTGAAAGCATGCACAATTCAGACACCCAAATATCGTCCGTAACTACTAAACGTCCGTAACATTGTCCGTGGACCAAGAGTGACACGAGGTCAGCTCTCGCAATGAAGTCCAGTCGTGAAGCACAGTCAGCCAGTGTGGCTTACCGGTAGAGATACCATTCTATGGATATAAAATGGATTTAGTCTACTTTTAACAAGACAGCAGTAGTGAGGTTTAAAACCATTGAACTTGACTGTTCTGCATCGTTATTGGTGACGTCAAAGTTAGGGGTAGTCCATAAATTGTGCCGGCTATTTCCAACCCCCTGTCCTCCCTCTTCACGCACTGATTACGCTGCCTCCTCCTGTCTACGCTTTGATAAGCGTTATGTCTCAAAAGTAATTCTATTTGACCCGTGATTAGACTAGAGATGTAAAGCGAATAATTGACGTGTTTCTTGTCGTAAGAGGAAACCAGTGGTGCCCGGAGCATTCCACGATAAATCTACAAGTGCCGTAAAACCTCATACCTCGTATTTTGACTTCATTGGGCTACGGGGGTTGTCATCAGCACTGAAATCGTTTGTTTCGTTTGCAGTTGCACCGTTTGCGTCCCCCAGTTGCACCGTTTCGCAGTAACAGCTTCCGACAATTTCGAGTTGCGTGGTTGCGAAGCTACCCCTTAAAATCATAAAAAGTCCATAATACTCTTATGCCCCCTTGAAAGCTTCATTGCACTATAAAAAAACAATCGGGGCATTATGAGCTTTTGCAAGCCACGAAGAGTCATTTTCCTGCGTCATATTGACCATTTTTCTTATTTGCATCTGAAAGAGAGTAGTTGGTCCCAGATTCCACACCTTAAAGGTGGTTGTCAGCTTGGAAAGACATGGCTCATGCACCGACGAATCATGCGTGACGCACGAAAACTGGGAGCGCGGCGCGGCGCCGCGGACAGCTGCCTCTCTCGTGGACTGTCGGGGCTGGGGTAAATGGTGCAGGAGAGGATGGGGATGTGGGTGCGTACTGCAGGGGTAGTGTCGTCTCTTGTTCATGTGGGAGGACTCAGGTCAGACAAAGGCCCAGTGATAGCTTTGGGCCAGTGTCTGTTGTGCGGCTGGGGCGCGTGGGTGACCTGGCAGCGTGTCTGGCCACAGTGAGACACTCAAACGATGCCGGTTGTGCCGACCCATTTGGGAAGCACAACACGGGAGACAGTGTTTAGGGAGTTTAATGACCGCAACAAAGAAACTGGCCTATGGTGTCTAAGTCACTTCGTTGCAACTGTCGCGTCAAACTTACCAAAGATCCTGGAGGACTTCCTGGGGAAAATAACCCGGAACCTCCTGTGTAGCCAGAATGCAAGTTATCCAGCTTTAGTCCCCAGGACGACGTTTAACGACCTTCGACTGCCACGAGCTGCACATAGCCGTGTAACATGTTAAAGTCGCTTTGGAGGGTCTTGAACAAACGCCAGTGCATCGGAGTCAGTGCCCGTTCTTTTTTAAATGCTGTGTGGTTCATCGCGTATCCATTCATCTTCATTTTTTTCGAAAACCGTTAATCGGGTCTGCAATAATCTTCTTCTCCTGCAAGAACTGTGAGAAGTGAAACAGTGCCTACACGTTTACGCGCAATGATGACGGATACTTATGTGGAGGTCTTAGCCTGCATATTGGGCAAAAAGTATAAGTACAAGGATATTTTCATGTATCACCTCCCTCTCCAGAATGTTTTTTTCCGAACTCACAAGCTTGCTTTCGCTGTAGAAGGCTTAGCTATATCACAGAGGCAGACGAAAGGCGCAGATAAGATGGAGAAGGCAAGGACGAGACCAAGACTGGAAAAGGAAAACGATTTAGAAAAGTAAATTGCTTGTGCGCAATCAAGTATCGTTCTAAGAAAGCGATGACCGTGAGGCCAACAAACGTACGGATATAAAGTTGAGTACTTCGTGCAAATAATCACAGTTTGTTACGGCGTGAACAAGTTAAAGCTGGTCAACTTATAAAACCATGAAACGTGGTGCAAAATCAGATTTGTAGTGCATGTTTCAAGTGACTTTACCAAGTTTTAGGCATTGTTTCATCGGGCGTTTCAGATACGGGGCATAATGAATGCGCTGAAGGAAGAACTCCGGCGGATTGGTGACCATCAGCGCCGCATACGGATCCTGACGTTGTCCCCGCTTACGACAGAGAGAACCGCCTGTTTTCCGAGACGACGCAGTACATGGTACGCTGTGGCCTTAAACTCGAAGAAGAGCACGAAGTTGTCCTAGAAATGTTTCTCTATTCGAAGAAGAGGAAGAATATCTGAACAGGAAAGCCAAATGATTATCTCGCTTAACGAATCAGATGTAAATCAGGTGCAGTTGATAGAATATGTCCCGGAAAGAAAGGCTGTGTGGCTGTAAGAGATAAATGGCGCTAAGGCGAAAAACCAAAAACGACTAGCAAAAAGCAAACTGCACGCGATTTATGAACTGCTGAAGGGAGACGAGAGCAACCCACGAGTCGGACTTTCCGAGATCCGCCAGTCTTGGTCCGAAACGCTGTGTCCTGACGGGTAAGGCGGTACTCACGCGGTCTGCGTGTACTGTGATCACTAGAATGCGTAGCTGATGACTGGACCTCTTGGTCTGCGAGATGTCACTTACAATGACCTACTGAGTCATGTCGTACGTGATGTTCATAGGGATTCATGCATGATGCGCGATCCATCATGCCACAGTCAATATTTATGGCGCAATGACGATTGCAAGCACGACACACACGTAGTCTGGAAAGTTTTTGAATTCTTTTTAAACATGGCCTGTGCAGTTTTCTTCCACCTCAGCGAAAAAAATACCCTGGACGCAGCCGTTCAACCACACAATGCGAAAATTCCGGAGTCTTTCGCTCCGATACTGATACTGATATTTCAAGTGAGATACATAGGAATGTTACAGGCGCTTTTACCGCCGCTAACAGTCCCTGTGACCCATTTGTATCAAAACCCGAGAGATGAGGGTGTACGACTGACCTTCTTACCTGTTGATTGGTCGTTGAATGCCCTACCTGGCTTATAGGGTTCATTTATTTTGACATATTTTTAGCACAATTTGCAGCCACACCTGAGCGTAACTTAACCCTGTCCAAAGCTCCTCCTTACTTCGTTGCCAAACTTCCGTTGCGCTCCATCAAATTTCACCCCCGCCCCCCCCCCCCCATTCGCAATGCAATTTATGGACGAACCTTTAGCATTTGCAAGTGCATCATTTTCTGGGCTGAAGTAATTGGGGCTATCGAACACAGCTTGAGTTGGCAAAATTTGCCCGTAGGTTCCAGTGATGGAGGGGAGGGGGAGGGGTCAGGTAAGCACATACCAGATTTAGCATCCTACGTCAACATGGTGACTGCTCACTTGCATTATGCAGTGTTGCTATTTGGAATAAACTGGAACTACGACATAAGACAGTTTATCAGGCAGGCAAAACATCATGAGACTCAATCTTTGCAATGACGCCGAACATGCAGTGCATATCACAATACTACACATGCACTAAGTACGCGCCATGAATTAGTGTTGTGAACGTTGCTATGCGATGACCAAACCTGCGCGCGCGGGGTTTGTGAAAGCGAGCTGTTCTGGTCTTATCAAGACATGACGCGATTTGGCACAAAGGAACAGGATACCAATTTTTCAAGTATCGTGCTGGAGGGATTAGCCACCGAGCGGGGTTTGCTGAACCCGGAACGACCCAGCCGTTGTGGTGGAGAGGCATGGACTTAGGGCTCGTTAAGTTATTCACGACCTCACGACTTAGCGGTGCTGCAATGCTTCCAACGATTGTGACCCAATCACTGACTACGGTCTGTTCACACGTCGTGCTGCAGGCAGTCGTAATGCTCTTGTTCAGACTTGTTTGGTCTTTGTCGCAAGATGATTCAAAGGCGATGAGCCTTTCTTTAAAGGGCGCATGTCCTCAGCAACGTGCTTTGACTCGATGGCGCTTGTCACTTGACTTAACCTGACCCGAACTCTTACACCAGAAAGACCACTTCAGACTATTCGCTCAGTCTTACATCGCGTCTTGATAAAACCTGACAAAGCCCCGGGCACTCCATGAAGCAGCTATCGGCAATAAAGGAATACTATGCGTTGTAACTTGTTTGAACCAGTCAGAAACACACCGACGCAAATAAGGAACGTCTCGGAGGAAGACTCTGCCGGAAGACAGCGGTCGCAAACGAACGAGATCGATCACGGATCAGGTCACGACAGCGACCCCAGAGAGCTGCCAACGCAAACGATTCCCGTCGCAGGCGACGCCAGCCGGCAATAGACCGCGGACGTCGGCGTTGGTTGGACGAACTGCAAATGGAACACGAAAGGCGTGATATTAGTTCTTCGGCATTTGCACTGGCCATGGAGGCATCTGACCGAAACCGCAATTAAACCAGGCAAAAATGTCCACCCCTTTTTCGATGGAGTGGCAGGAAGCATTTGTTATGCAGCATGTGTTTAAGTTTGTTGTCACCGAAAGTTTACCGCGATTGAACTAATCTCAAGCTCACGCCGTTCGTTGAGATGTGGAGGCGTCCTTATTGCACGCCTCCCCATTTGGATAAGCCGACAGGCGCGCTCGGAAATTGGCTAATCCGGTTTACTGCATGCAGGGTTCACCAATTCCACGGCGCGGAAGGTCTGAACGATCCACGACTACTGATCTAACGAAGACCAGTCACAGGGTCCACAGTGCTTGCGTAGCAGGTCAAGGGTTACAGGACCGAATGCTGCCGCCAGTGCCAGAGCTGGTCTCAGGCTGGTGCGAAACGAAGCAAATCACCATTGCATGACAGTAGCCAGATCAAGCTATTTAATCTCAGTGTGTTATACACCTGCCTATTTGCCGACAGCATACATTTGGCGCTTGTACAGCAAACAAACCCTAGCCCTTTTGTTTGAAAACAAATTTCTTCAACAGCACGTGCTTGCTATGCATCTGTTCATCTCTTTTTTACAAGGTGGACAAACGTACAAGATACGGTGCGCACACGTATATTGCCACCATAACATTGTAGCTCTTGCTCAGATTATCTTTTTCAGAAAGCACTCCCATCACATCCCAGGAACGGCGTTCATATCAATGCATCCACGTTCCCTAAAGTTGTTGGCTGGCCGTGGCTGTTGCCGTGCATGCAGTCGTCACTATGGCTTTTGAGCCATCCGTAGATACCGAAAATAAGAACGGTCTGAGGTTCATTTCCAGCTATGCAAAATAGCACTTTGAAGCCCACGTGCAAATAGTGTCTCTATGAAGTTCGTTACAATTAGACGTTCACACAGACAGTGCGTCCCCTTGAAGGCCATGCGCCAGCGTCTCGCAGACGTCCCTTCTGCAGGAAATCGTGCCCGTATTTCCATGCTGCCTCCTCGGAGGCCGGGTACACCGGCCTGTAAGCTGTCGCTGCATTCTGTTGACTGCTGTTGCCCCCTCGGAGACAGCCGACTGCCGACTGTGAGACTGCAGAGATCTGCAGCACTGGGTTGATGGGTACTCAGGATGTGGAGACCTGCAGCACTGAGTTGATACTGTCCAGTCTGTACAGTCCAGCCACTCTCTGACACAACTAAACTCCTTCAACACACACACACGCACGCCTTCGGCAGACAAACCAACTTAATGTTAATAACTCATAATATGAAATTCATTCGGACTTCAACCACATTGCCTCACTAGCTGAATGCCATTCCTGCCGTCATATTACTCGAATCAAACGCAAACAGCACAGTGGCATGCCTTGACACGCCCGAGGTCAAGAAGCCTGGCAGAGCCGCGACCGGCTCGGACGATACAGTCGTGGGAGACGCCAGGCCGCTGGCGCTATTCCGGGGAACGTCGTGTCGCCGTGTAAGCCAAGCGAGAGATGCACTACAGCCCGAAGGCTGGGCCCGGCGCTGCCCGGAGCAGGGCTGGAGCTGGACCTGGCGCTGGCCGCAGCGGAGCCGGAGCTGGACCTGGTGTTGCCCGAAACGGAGCTGGAGCTGGACCCGGTGCTGCCCGGAGCGGAGCTGGAAATGAACCTGGTGCTGTCCGGAGCGGATCTTGAGCTGGACCTGGTGCTGCCTGGAGCAGGGCTGGAGCTGGCCGTGCAGCAGGGCGCGGTGTGCAGCCGGGCATACAGCTACCGGAACTGGGCTGGGGCTGGGGCTGGGGCTGGAGCTGAGCTGCAGCTGATCAGAAGTTGAACTGGAGGTAAGCATAAGCTGAGCTAGAGCTGAGCAGTAGCTGAGCTGAAGCTGAGCTGGAGCTGAGCTGGAGCTGAGCTGAAGCTGAGCTGGGGCTGAGCTGGAACTGAGCTGAAGCTGAGCAGGAGCTGAGCTGGTGCTGAGAAGGAGCTGAACTGGAGCTGAGTAGGAACTGAGCTGGAACTGAGTTGGAGCTACAGCTGGAGCTGTGTTGTAAACTGGATATGTTGCTGGGCTGGCACAACCGCTGTAGTTTGACTCGGTGCCACTCGGAGAGCCAGTTCAGTGCGGCGCTATCTTGGAGAACTGCTCGTGCATCCTGCGGAATTCCTGCAGCTCCTGGGAGCTCCCGCCTGGCATCGAGCTGGACCGCTTCCGCCTGAAACCGAACAGCAGATGCTTACGTACAGAAGGTGCCGTAGCAGTGGGACGAAGTGATCTTCCCTCAGGCGTGTTCGTCTTGAATGCCTTTGAAAGCTAACGCCCTTACCTTTGGTGCACCGAAAACCCGCGAAACTAGCGTAGAATCACAATAAAAATGGCTACACAAATGTGTGCACAGTTAACACCGTGTACATGCACAAGCTGTGACAAATTTAGTTTTAACCCCGACAGTGGGACATCCCTATAAGACATGCCGGGTTTCTTGTAGACGTCGGTGGAAGAAAAACAGGTTTGACGGTTAGTCGCCCCGAGACGCCTTTAAATCACATCAAAGATGATTGGCGTTACAGGCCGTGGGGCCCGCCGTCTGACCTGCGCTGGGGGCTGCGTGTAACAACGTGCTCCTGGCCAGGGGCACAGGGCTGGCCCGGTTCGACTGGCCCCACCACCGCCACCTTCATCTCGGTCAGACTCTGGAAACCGCGCGCTGAGGTCAACGACTGTGGTGCAGGCGTGACGGGATGGAGTCCCCCTTGTGTGTGCAGGCGTGACGGGATGGAGTCCCCCTTGTGTGTGCAGGCGTGACGGGATGGAGTCAGGCGTGTGTGTGCAGGCGTGACGGGATGGAGTCCCTCTTGTGTGTGCAAGCGTGACGGGATGGAGTCCCTCCTGTGTGTGTAGACGTGACGGGATGGAGTCCCTCCTGTGTGTGCAGGCGTGACGGGATGGAGTCCCTCCTGTGTGTACAGGCGTGACGGGATGGAGACCCTAGAGGAGATGGATGCACTACACCTCACCGTGCCTTTATGCTACAATGATGCAGCATACAGGCATGGTGTCATACGTCGTATAAAGACTTGTACGTCATATATAAAGACTTAACACGTCATATATAAAGACTTAACACGTCATATATAAAGACTTAACACGTCATATATAAAGACTTAACGCGCTATATCACGTCATATAAAGACTCAACATTCACGTGTAGATTGGTCAGCGTATATATGCTGAATAACGTACGATTACGCAAATACAAGAAAAGGCATTTCGTTGTCAACTTGTAAATGACCTCTATAATGTTACCGCCTACACAGCGTTACACACACACACACAAACACAGCGTTACACACAGCCTACACAGCGCTTCACCCGGTGGCTTCCCCGGGGACCGTCAGGTGTCTTGTGGTCCTGAGAAGCCGACTGTAGGATGTTTGGCATATGACAATCATGCATTGCAGTCCTCAGAGTTTCTGGCAGCTGCATCCAGAACGTCCTTAGGTATTTTCAGGTGCATGGCTTGACAACGTGCGGAGAATTTACCGGCCCGATTGCTGCGTAAACGACGCAGCAATTGATAAATGCCGTAGCCCAATTAATTCTCCATCTGTCCAGCACCTGGTCCTAAATTTTACGAAAGTTATCGTCTTGATTTTCTCTCAGTGCATCTCTTTCGCGGTCTTGTATTCAGACTGTGTCAACCAGATTCAACTTAAACAATTAATGTAACTATGTTGTGTTTTTCAGCGTTGCTTCTTGTTCATTAGTTGATGCTTAACTTTATTAAATATTCTGCTTCTTAGTGCAAGAAGAAGGCAAAGAACGGCAAATAAAAAGCGCTTAAAGTGTATCATCCACTTGACAATCATTATTCTCAGGATATGGCAATACGGCATTACGTCACGACATGGGCACGGTCCAATCTGCCAGGCGTCTCTGAGCGGAGCCGCGGCCGTGGCCGTGGACAGGTGGCGCTGCGCGCGCGCCAGCTCACCGGCGGCCTGCGGGCCAGCTCGCGCAGCTGGACGTCTCGGAAGAACTCGAGCCGCGGCAGCATGTCTAGGCTGGGATGGCGACCCCCAGGCGAGTCGAATATGAACTCCATTACAGGCCCCAGCTGAGGCAGACGAGGCGTCAGTTAACGGTGGGATGAGGTCTAAAACTGGGACCGAAACACACTGTAAACCAAAACTGTAAACTTTGACCAATCTGCTCGCATTGTTCGACTGTATCCCACGTCTCCCGCTGATGACCTTGGCATGGGACCCACATCTCCACCTGAGGTGAAATCAGACCCGTGTGTGAGCACCCATGACTTGGGACCCAGTTACCGCGTCAGTGACCTGGGAGCGTGTCTCGTGGTCCAGCAGCGCCATCTCTGCCGGCGTGGGCCCACGAGGCCCCGTCTGCCGGCCAGACGCCATCTGGTAGATGAGCGCACCCACGGCCAGCTCGTCCGAAGGCGGTGCCGGTCCAAGCCACGCGCACGGCTCGTACTCCAGCAGCGCCGCTTCCAGGTCTGCCAGCCTGCCGGGACAATGGTCAGGCCAGCCGGTTAACACAGAACAGGTCGCACAGCGCGGCCCCGGGATGTAGGCTGGCACGGTGCAGGTCGCACGGCGCGGCCCTAGGATGTAGGCTGGCACAGTACAGGTATTACAGCGGGGCCCCGGAATGTAGGCCGGAATTTACGTTGACAGTTATGCACGTGTTTTGATGAAAATTGGTGAAACACTCATTGCATTGTCCACGCAAAAACACCAACACACACCCGCGCTGAAAAAGCACAGGATTACGTGAGCTAAATACCCCAAACATTCCTGTATCTTTACGTTCCCTTTCTAGGTCCCTCCGTCGCCGGTCCCAATGAGCGCACAGTCTCACCACGGTCGCCGGCGACTTGCCGCGCTGCCTACCCGTCAGTCCCCTCCCCTCTCCGGGGCAAGACGGTGTCGCCCCCATCCTCGCCAAGCTGACCTGGCCACGCCGTTCTGCACCATGATGTTGCCGGCGTGCAGGTGGCCGAAGGTGGCGGCGAAGCCGGTCCTGCGCAGGTGCAGCAGTGCCTCCACTAGCTGCAGAGAGAGCCGGCGCACCTGCGAGAGCGGCAGCCGCAGCCGCTCCGTGTCGACCGCCTCGTACTTGTCGCTCCAGTCGCGGTCCCAGGCCGTCTGCGGGCCGCGGTGGGGTGGGGTCGGCCGGGGAGGCGCCGGTGGCGCTGGCGGCACGCGGGCCGCATGGCGCTGAGGCCTCTGGCGCCGGGCCGCTGGCGCTGAGGCCTCTGGCGCCGGGCCGCTGGCGCTGGGGCGTCAGCGAGGTGACAGCTGGGCTTGACGAGGGACTTTGGACGCAAGGTTTGCATCGATTCGGCTCGGCGCCGGTTCTGCAGGATGTGAAACTCCGGCAAACACTGTTGTTCCGAACTTCAGATTCTGATGTGTGGAATCGGCAAGTTACGAATTTTTTTTAGTTACAGAGCTATTTTCCTACCAGATACCTTTCAAATTGCCACAAGTAAGCTAAAAAATATCTCTGCCCCAAACTGTTGCCATTTACGGCCTTCACCTGTGAAGAAACGCGTTTATAGCTGTCAGACTTGTCAAACATCACAAAGACACATGCTTGCTGAGCAAACCAATCGATTCAGAATTCGTCTCATGGATGCAGCCTCCCTGGGCACACTGTTATCCCGTATGTTCCATGCGTCCCCACCGGCGAATACTCCAATGTGTTCGAGTGCTCAAGGTACGTCAGCGATAAGAAAAGTAGAGTAGAGCCGGCTGGGCCAAACCTTTGTAATTGCGACAGCGCATCCCTTTGAACATCTTGGGAGCGCCCGCATGGATAATGTCGATTCTCCCCTTGTCGTCTGCTAAACGATATGTCTGCCATTTATGCTTTTAGTCAAATCCAGATAAATTACAATTCAAGGAGCTCTTCTAATCCTAGGGGTGAGTGCGGTATCTGGTATGAATATAGCTGCTAGCGGCAACTTTTTTATAAATTCATCCCGAATGGTTTGTATGGGTGACTTCGGATTCAGAGTACCTGCTAAGCATAACTTATTGCGTGTACCCCGAACCCGCCACCCAAGCGTGCCGTCCAGTCCAACAGCTAATTTTGCCTCCTCCCTTTCGCCAGACAGGAATGTGGAGGGTTTTACGTGTCGCACAACGCTCCGACACGGCCGCCTCGGGTCTGGGTTGAACCTCGTTGGCCAGTTGCCAGCTGGCCTTTCCATTTCAGTCGGGTCAAACAATGCGCTCATTCTGGGACTCGTACCCAGTGCCGCTGGTTTACGAGTCTAGCATCTTTCCCCAAGACCACGGAGACGGCATGATGTAACGTAATGTAATGTAAATGTAAAACTTGATGCAATGCTTACGGTTAAGATGCCAACCTGCACAGGGGGAATGTTTTTAACGTGTCTCCGGGTATATCTTCGTATCTTCCATACGCGACCTGAGATGGCGAACGAAATACAAAAGAAAAATCCTGCCACCTGATAGGCCACAGCTGCTGGATAAACAAATACCCAACAAAGAGCCATTATGATTGTAGTGACAGATCAGTGATCGCGCTATTTTGTGAATGTTTTCACATTTCACTATTTGACTCGTATACATAACAATTTTTTAGTCATTTAGTTAATTCCTAATATAATGGTATCTCAATGGCGGCTTCTAGGGCTCACGTCTATCTTACAAATAACATCGACGGCTCGGCTCCTGACGCAACCACAGTCAGTCACCACTAAGTCTTTCACACAAAACAAAATATAGCAAAACGGCATAAAGCAGCAAAGCAAATCTAGACTCTAACATGGCTGGATACAGCACGTCAGCCCGATGTATGCTGGCGTCGGATTTGGAGGTTTTTCGCGCAGCACGCCGGATATAAAATGACAGATTATTTAAGCTTGGTGACTTTTCCTGACTTTTCAAGACGTGGTACCGGCAGCTTTAGGGACTGGGCCCCCTGGTGTCGTCATCGGACCGGCCCCAAATGAAGTGTCGGGTTGCGTCGCGTGGTCGCCAGACCCGCTATTCATGTGACGCGCCGGTCTCTGCGGGGCTCACCAGCAGGCCCTCCCGAGATGAGGTGCCGACCTATCTGGGGCGCCACCAGCCCACATGTGGCTGCGGCTGCTGATCGGCGGTGAGGTAGCGCGCTGCCCGGGGCCGCCTAATCGATACCGCGCGCGGGTGATGTGATCTGTGCTGGTCTCGGCAGCCAGCCACCGCTGCTGACTGGCCTCAACTGGGCGTCAATTGTTCCTCCGTTCTCCCGCAGGCCTCACGCGGGACGGCGACAGAATGTGTGAGCTCCAGAATGGAACCGCATGTGGTAGGCGCGTTTACAAGCATTGTGTGACAACCAGATGGTCGATGTTCGATGTTCTTTCACGCACATCTACCCTCAGATCAAAAAAGTTTTGCTTTTCGGCAAATATGGTGCGGCCTTGTAAATGATTTATTGGCCGTGAGCTCATATGAAGACTTACCGAAAAACGAGATTTCACCGCCGGCCTTGTGAATGCCTTGTTGTCTGTCAGCTCATCCGAAGACTTACCGAAAAAATCAAGCAAGGCTTAGCGTAACACCCAAAAATGGAGAGTGCTCACAATTATTACAGCCAACACAACTATTGCAGACACACGAACTAAGGATTATTAAAACGCGCTCGGGTGGGGGTCAGATCAATCCCCGGAGGTTTTTCCGGAATGGTTTCCGAACGACGCGGTGTAGACGCGCTAAATGTTGAATGCTATAGGCAATTGAATAGCGGGTCGCCTGACGCCATAAATTCGGATGTATCTTGTAAGGTCGCTGACCTATGGCAGGTCAAAGTCAGGCCATGGTTTCGGCAAAGGCAACTTCTAGAGAATCGCTCAATTCTGATCCAACAACGGAGTGTTACGGACGGACAACGGACGAAGACGAACAACAACGGACGAAGTCATACATCTCTGAGATACTTTCTTAGGCAGCACAACAATTGAATGAACAAATTGCATTGACCTAGGGTCAGGTTCATAGGTCAGACCAAGGTGACAACTAACGTGTTTTAGTACTCTAAGGCTTGCCGTATGGGGCAGTTTCTTGTGCTCACTTCAAATTTATTGACAACAGGGACCACATAACACAACTGCCATGGACTTCTTAAGGGTGAAAATAGGTCACTGACCTAAAATGACCCGGGTCAACATTTTGTTTTTAGGAGCATCCTGCCTAACGTAATCTTTATCGCTTATCCAAATCTAAAACTCAAAGCAGTCTCGTATTAGTTTGGTCACCATGACCTTCAAGAGGTCAAACAAGGTCACTGACCTTTAATGAGCATGCGACCTTTTGCTTAGAACAGTTATCTAGGTTCTAGGGCCCTTTGGAGACCAACATGGAATCTGACCTTGTTTGACCTGATTTGGCCCGAAGGTCATGACCTAGGCACCTCAAACATTGACCTAAGTGAGTTCGCACACAGGTGAACACAGGCTGTGAATTTGGTGTCTAGCTCTCTCAGTTCCTGAGATCTCAGGGGAATTAAATTTCCCCCCCCCCCCACCCCCACACACACCCGAGCGAAGGGTATCCAACCGGCCATCTGGGTGTGTGTTAACATTTCTACAACCCGAAAAAGTCAAAAATCAGCCAGCCAATAAAAAACGATTTGAGTGCTTATGGAGTGCCTGCCTGCCTGCCCTTTGAACCTGTGCCTGAGTGCCTGCCTGTCTGTCTGTCTGTCTGTGGAGCTGGTGAAGGCACCAATCCACGTTCAAAGTCTCGACCAATGTACCGCCTGCCGTTCATATGTTTGCTTCGACGCTGCGCGGCGCAACGTTGCTCTAGTAATCATCGTGCGAGCCGGGAATATCGGGATTTACCAAAGTGGTGCCGAATGCAACGCGCTGTCGTCAAAACCATTGCCAGAATCGTACCGAATTTACATCACTGCAATTATTTATTGGCTGTCTTGTTCGCCAGTCTATTAATTTCTTTACACCCTTTCGTTCAAACATCAAGTTAACCAAAATGTTAACGAATGATCTTTTTCGCGACAACACGCCACTGATCGATCGCCCCGTCGCCGTTGCCGAGTATTTCAAGCAAGACGCGGAGAGCGCACGTGCTGTGATAGCCGACGGTCTGCGCTATTTCATTCATCTCCCGTGCACTCATTCGTTGGCGGGCGGAAGAGTAGAGTCACGGTAACACAGCATGCATCAGTACAGCCATCTGCAGATCATTCCATAGATCAGACATGGTAATGACAATGTGACATTAGAAGGCAATGTCATGCTTTCAATTACACAGCTGAATTCAAAATATTGTTCATAGAGTGAAAGTTAACGTTCAAAGGTTGTGGCCATAAGATTCATTGGGGTTACTGTTTAAGGAAGAACGATTGATGGTTACCCGCTGCCACGGGTAATTAGCACGAATAGTGTTTTTAGGGCTTGCAATGTAGAACAACTGTAGAGAACGAATGAAAGCACGAAAGGTCACAACAACATTCATAAGTGTGAACTGAAATATGACGAATATGACGCTAGTATCGGGGTTCAACATTTTATTGAAGCGCCTGCAATGCGTGGCTAGGCTCAAAACGCAACAGGCATTTGGAGAGCAGCGATTGGAAGCTGAACATTTGTTGACTTCGAATTGGAAAGCAGGCGTATGATAGCTACAGCTCTGCGCCTGGGATAACGCCTCACAGCTGTTGTGTGCCGCTGTGGCTCAGTATTTTACAGCTGGCCGCAAGATTATGGGCTATCGCACCGGTGCACGCTTGCCAAGCATTTGACTCATGTTGTAACATGCGCGTGGGTGAAGGGTCAATTTGACACCCTGAAGGTTTTTCCAGAATGGTTTCCGGAAAGCGCGGCGTAGCGGCGCCAAATTTTGCACAGCTGTAGACAATTGAATAGCAAATTGCTTGTTATAAAAATATAGACGTATCTTGTGAAGCTGCTGACCCACAGCAGGTCCAGGTCAGGCCATGCATTCAGCGAAGTCAATTTCTAGAGAATCGTAAGTATGATGCAACAACGGGATGTTAGACGAAGCCATGCATCTCGGAGATAGGTTCTTGGGCAACACAGCAATTGAATAAACATATTCCACTAACCGAGGGTCAGGTATGAAGGTCAGATCAAGGTCAAAAACCACCT